GTGGCACACATAACACTTGACTTTATTTCGTCTACCTATCCTAGCCTACAAAGCCACAAATACACACAATTACAAATACAAATGCAAATACAAAAGGCGAAAGTGACTGTTGTGGCTAGAGTAACGCATTTTCACAAAAGCTTCGCACACATTTCTATATGTAAAGCTAGTCTGTGAACAAATTGCGGTGCGATAAGCGGCCGCTTTTAGAAAGAAGAGAAAAAATCCAATCAACATAACAACTTGGTAACAGCTTACAGCCTACAACAAAAACTAATATAGTTTTAGCATTGAGCGCCTACACAACCGCTATGGAGTACCACATACCGTTATATTGTGCAAACAAAAAGGACGAATGGCCTGCATTTTCACAAATGTTACATGTGTTAGTAACACATGGCAGCCCAGCAGGAAAAACTTTCATGAAGCGAGCTGAGAGATTACCTTGAAATATGTATCAATCGGAAAATATTCTAAATCATCGTTTTCGTTTAAATATTAATTAGCTGAGGTAAATAACCTAAGCACTAGCTGGAAAATGTTTGCTTAAGTTTCGTAGTCATTTTACAAACTAAATGTTTTCAATTTCGGTTTTCTCTAGTATGACTCGTAACAGTGGCTTAACACCGGCCTCAATAACATGCTTTCACATTTATTTTCATTGCTCACATACACATGTACCATATATACATACATCTTAGTTTTTACAGACTCAACCTGCACAACCTACACAGTTGGCAACAAGGTACTCTCGTGTGCGTTTCTGAAAGGCTGACTGTGAAAAGTGTGTCGAAACAGCTTTACGATACACGCACACAGCTTTATGCAACTAAACACAGAAATTTGCATACAGCCGTGTCTCTGTACAAATACACACCTACTTACATATTGTTTAGGCATAAATAAACCTATATAGTCCGTCCGGCCAAAGGCTGCACAATAAATTTAAACCGAAAAATAGAAATACACATATTGCCAACATTTTGGCTTCACAACAGTCAACCGTGTACGGTGCGCCAATAAACAGTGGTTATGAATAGAAATGTGCAAAGGAAAAACTATTATATATTTTGCAGCTGTAATCATAGTTTGTGAAATATAAAACATAAAGTATAAAAGTAGGGCATTGCACTCATTACGTGTTCATAATTATATATACGTACGTAGAATATACCATATATGATATAAGTACATATGTCTGTATATATAAGTTGGTTGATTTCAAATTTTTCGTTACCAAAGTGGATGTGCTCAACACTACGTATAAATAATCCTCAAACGTAACCGGCCAACGGTTTGCATAAAACGGAAAACGTTTCGATAGTTTTAAAAACGAGCAACGTTGTTAGAAATAAACAATTTTAAGTCGAATAAAGGTTATTTATTAAAAAAAAAAGTTCTTTCATAAGTATCTTTATATTAATTTGGATCGATCAGTTTGTATGGCAGCAATACCTTATAGTAAACCGATCTGAACGATTTGTTCGGAGTTTGTAGCGTCGTCCTGAACAATATTCGTGATAATATCTTATCAAATAAAAAAGTTTTCTATACAAGAACTTGATTTTGATCGCTCAGTTTGTATGACAGCTATATGTAACAGTGGGCCGATATCGGTGGTTCCGAAAAATAGGGAGCATACTGGGGAGAAAATGATGTGTGCAAAATATATGTCGATATTTTTAAAACTGAGCGCCTAATTCGCGCGTATACAGACATATAAGTCTTTAAGGGGCCTGACTAAATGGGCTTAGCCCAACACACTGATCATTTATATTACATATATTAACGGGTCCGTTATTTTCCAAGTTGATTTTTTTTTGCAACGGCCCGTAGTTTTAGTTTTCGCCAAAAAAAAAAAAAATCTAGCGTAAACAAACTCTTTATTTAAAACTGAAATCGGGCCTTATAAGGTTATAGGTTTATTTGCTTTGGAGGACCCCTAATGTATATGTACAATATATTCTCCGTTATTTCCTTCTTAGTGCTACAAACTTTCAGGCAAACGTTATCTACGCTGTTCTAAGTATAATTAAGATGAACGACAACTGTGAAAGTTGAATGTTTTAATTTCGCCTCTATTTTTTTATACTAAAAGATAATTACACTATCTCAACCAATTTTGAATTTTTGATATTTGAATTTAGAATCTTACATAACTGCATTAATGGCATATGCATGTATATACAATATATATAGGTTTTTTTTGGAAAATTTTAGTTAAATAAATCTAAAAATATACCACCGTGCATACGCTCAATTATGAATGCATACAGATCTATATAAAATTATATGCACAACGGTGCATAAGTAAAATGCAAATAAAAACTTTGCAGCTATTTCTATATATACTGCGTTGCTTTCTATTTGTTTCGTTATATTTTTGTGTCAAATAAACATAAACATAGACTTTTAATTTCAACAGGCTTTGCTTGCTAAAATCAAATAAACGTATAAAATATGTACTCTATTGTAAATGTCTTGCCTCTTAAAGTTCTGATGTTTACTTTTATATACCTTGAACGGGGTGTAATTAAGTTTGCCACCAAGTTTGTGACACTCAAAAGGAAATGTCTGATTCACCAAATTTGTCATAGAATATTGAACAAGGCAACGCTACAATCACCGTATAAATTATTCAGATCAGAAAAAAGTTCTTGTATACATATTATTATTTTTTATTTGTGAAGAGTATTCATTTTTTCTTGTTTGTGTTCAAACGAAGGTGTTTATCGCAGCAGCTATAGAAGAAATTACTACAGCAGAACATTATCCACATAACGAATGTTCTTGAGAGCTTACCAACCCACGTTATAGCATTCTCCGAACGATTCAGATTTCCGTGTATGTTCCTGTTAATTGCACATTTAATGCACATAAATTTATGGAATGGTAATAAGTTCAAATATAAAAATAATTCTTTAATACGAACATACTGTCGGCAATGCAATAAACAATATGGTCATATGCGAATGTAGCAAATGTTATTGTTCTCCAGTATTGGAAATTGATTATTCACGATTCTCATTGCTGTAGAGCTGAGGTTGCAGAGATTGCATACAAATCAGCACCAATACTCGTATATGGAAGAAATACTCTCACTCTCAAGCGAAAACGCTTCGCTCTATGGGCTCTCGAAAAGTTCCAGAGAAGATCCGACGTTTTCGAGCCACATTTTGTTCAGCGATGAGACGCATTTCTGGCTCAATGGACTTTTTCTTGTGGGGATATGTAAAGTCTAGTCAATATTCTATAGAAATTTAAGTTAATATAAATATTTGAATGACTTTATAAAAACTTAAAACCGATTAATGCTAAAAATTAAATTAAATTGCTAAATATGAATGCCAAATCACAACCGTCAGGGTACATTTTTCACCCCGGCCATAAAAGTTGTACAAATAGCAACGCCTTTCTTTGCAAGTAACCTTGAATTTATCACATTTGTTAGGCTTTAAATTCATTAAAAAATCATTTGTTTAGAGCAGAGTTAAAAAAAAAACAAATTAGGAAGGGTTAAGTTCGGGTGTAACCGAGCATTTCATACTCGTGCATTTTCGTCCTGTAACATAGGAATATTAGAAGAATGTTATGTACCGAATTTGGTTGAAATCGGTCGAGCAGGTGCCGAAATATTCAGCTAAAAGAGGGCGATGCCACGACCATCGTGCAATTTTGACACTGGCTCCTACAAAGCCTTCTCGTGCCATTCTGGATGTAAAATTTAATGTCCCTGACGCATTTAGTTATTGATTTATCATACTTTTAGTAGTTTTTAACAAAACTGTTTTATGCGGAGTGGGCGCGGTTATCGTCCGATTTCACCTATTTTCACACAAGCGTAAGTGTGCTTGAAACAATTGGTCCTGTGCAAATTTTGTGGTTATAGCTTAATTGGTTGGAAAGATATGCACATTAAACTTATTAAGGGCGGGGCCACTTCCAGTTTTTAAAAATTTTCAAACCCCTGTTGCCCCTCCTTAGTGTGATTCGTTGTGCTAAATTTGAGTTCTGTAGCTTAATTTACGGCTTAGTTATGAAATTTTATACGTTTTCGTTCAATGACGTTTTGTGGGCATGGCAGTAGTCCGATTACGTCCATCTACGAACTCGTCCATATTTTTTTACCAAGTTTCATCAAGTTATCTTAATTTTTACCCAAGTTACAGCTCGTACGGACGGACAGACAGTCACCCGGATTTCAACTCGTGTGGTCGTCCAAATCACTTATATTTAGGTATATGACCCTATATCTAGTTCGATAAGTTGTAGTTGATACGAAGAACCGTTAGGTGAACAAATCTATCTATCTCTGTAGCAACATCTTGCAAGAGTATAAAAATTATGTACTATTATTATATAATTCAAGTCAAATCACTGGTTAATAAGTTTTCTTTTAATACTTTGGCCTTCAAACGTAAGAATCACAGTTGATAGTTATTTTAATGAAATATTATACGAACATCTGCACACACATGTGCGACCTCTTACATAAGCGGTCATGCACACGTAGTTATTAACCGAGTGTGACCTCCAGCGCTTTCGTCCACTTGGTGCAAATGGCTATGCCAATTTTCTGCCATTTCCGACCTTAATGAAATGAATTAAGCAGAATAGTTGTGTAGGTAGTCGGTATATAATATGTATGTAATAAAAAAATTTGATTACCGTACACAGGGATTGTAGTCAAAATTGTGATTTATGCCGGACGTTTTTCAATTTAACAATTCAGGCTTCACTTTAAGATTGTGTGGTTTTCGGAATGCGGTTATCTGGTATAGATTGTGACTATTGTTTCCTTTCCTTGCCACATTATCAAGTTATGTTGTGGAGCTTGAAATTTGTACAGATATGTTGCATGGACAACAAAAGCAACGACTTGCAATGCCTAGAGCTTCGAATGAACTTGAAAATTTTAAGGTTTTACAATAGCTTTACAACACTGGCACTAAATATTACAGAAACATAATCACTAATTTCCATTTTATTTCACTTTTCAGGCACTCAACGCAACTGTAAATTACAAACACAAAAAATTATTATAGCTAAATACAATAAAAAGTGTTTTCTCATCGTTCAAACCATGGGCTCCGGTCATTACATTTGGGCGATATTCTTTTTTGCCAGTTTATGTAGTGCATCACTGTAAGTACCGTAGTCATGAAATTATGTAATTATATCACATGTGCGTGTGTGTGTGTTTGTGCGTAGTATATAAGCTTTCACTATTATATTATGCATATTCATTTGGTATGCGTATGTAAATACAAAATAGGAATATCGTAACACGATAATATTATATTAACAGCATTTGCGCATATTATTGCACACAACAACAACTGTACAAACTCATGCACAAACAAAAAATGGTATTATGCTATTGAATTGTCTAATTTATAGAAAAACTATAACTATGGATACATTTTGCAATTCAATAACGAACTAAGGCAGAGAGTATTGCAATGTGATGGGCTCTTGATTGAGAGATTTTAGCTTTGATTGTATTTTTTACTAAAATAGTTTACAGTGATATTAAAGATAGATTTCCACGATTTTTATAACAGTAACATCGCTCAATATTGAGAGTGAGAGCGAGTAGATATTAAACTTTATTACACATACAGGTGTGTTGAAAAGTTTCTGTGCTCGCAATGAAAAAATACTGTTTTTGGTACTAATATATTTTTTATGCAAAATAATCTCCATTAACTTCAATACAATTATTCCAATGATCGTCTAATAATTTTATGCCATCGCTATAATGGCTTTCCGGAAGCTCTTCAAAATACCCGTCTACGGCTGTAATAGCTTCTTCGCTTGCCACGAAGGAAGTATTTCAGGTTTCTGAAGGAAGAAGGAAGGTGAGGTTTCTAACGATATTATGAACTTGCTCAATGATTTCTAGTGTGGTTGCGGTTTTTGGTCACCAATCCAAAATTCAACGGTGCATTTTGAAGATGAGGGCTCCTTATAGACTTCTAGCAATGATTCATAAATTTCCTTTGCTTTTAAGCGTTTCAAAACAAAGAATCTAATGTCAGACACGTCAACTTCAAATGGAAGATTTTTAACTTTGCATGTGTTCTCACGACAGATGTACCAACTTGAGAAAAAATAGCTAATAGTGCTATTTCTTGGTGTGAAGAGAAACTTTTCAAGCAACCTGTATACACAGTAGCGCTTACTCTGATTGATTCGTTAAAACAAACATACAATTTATTATAAATAATAAATAACTAAAAGCAAAAAACTTGCTTTAATTTATTAATTTATTTGATGGTTTGGGTTAATTGCCGTCATTTTAATGTTACAGTTACTTGATACAGTGAAAACGTTTGTCAACGCAAGGGCAAACTTTTTAGTGTAGCGTCATTGATTTTGACACAATGGAAACCGGGCAATAATCTTTATCACCTCCTTTTAATAATAAATATTCCAAATATATAGCAAAAGTATGGTAAATGAGAATAATTTGCGAATACTTCATGCGATGAATGCACTAAATCGGCGCGTTTCCAGAAGTTCCATATTACCCATCACACTGCACACTTTTACCGCATTAGTGTTTCCCATATACAAACTCACATATTTAGATGGTCATTTTATTAAATCTCTTTGTATTATCAACTCATACATGCTTTATATATATATATATATATATACATATTTATATAAATAATTGTAATTGCAATGTTTTTTTAATTTTTGTCGGAGCATAAATTTTGGAATTATTTGCAAACGCTAGACAAAGCATATCTATCACAGGCTACAGCAAATGCAATTTAAATGCCAACAGATATGCTCTGGCTGTGAGCAAAATACTATGATAAGTGCGACTGTATAATGTTGAGAACCGTTACGCTGGTTTAACAGTATGCTGGAAGAAACCAAACGTTCAATATTAATATAATATAATAATAAAAACAGATAAAGATTCGAAATTTTTTGCTTCTCCACAAAATTTTGTATATACTATTCTAACTGTTTAATATAATATAGATATTTGTTCACTATTGTACTGTTGATGCCCCACCATTTTTTCAAATATTTATATGCAAATTTGTAAACTATGCAAATATTATTGGTATTTTCTGTGTAAAAATTTAAAAATGAAAGCAAATTTCACAAAATAAACAAACAAAATTTATTTTATGGATGGCTTACTAACGATTAATACAATTATACGTACGTACATATCATAATTTCAGAGCTAATAATGCCAAAATAAATTTCCGAGAAAAGGAGAAAAAAGTCTTAGACCAAATTTTAGGTGCAGGAAAATATGATGCCAGAATACGTCCATCCGGAATAAACGGCACGGGTAAGAACAACAAAAAACAAAAATAAAATAAAAATTAAAACAAATAATACAAAATACACAAAGTGCTGTGTAGTATTTAGTTCGCATTTGTGTTAAAGGAGCAAATGACACACATTATGCATAATAATTTAATGAAATTAAGTAAATCGTGTTAACAAAAAAAAAAAAAAAAAATTCGGCAAATATATAAATTAAGTAAACATTAATTTCTCTTTACCTACATACATATTTTTATTAGCAAATATTAAAGTTTTTTAGTTTTATGCGACAATTCGTGATAATGGAGTTTTTTTTGTTCATTTTGCAGTAAATATATTTTATAATTATATTCTTATACTAAAATTAGTTTTAAGCTTAGCATTAAACACTGGGAAAATATTGAAAACAGAAATTCCAAAATGCGTTAAAAATTATGTGATATTTCCAAAAAAGAATTGGTTTAAAAAAATAATAATTATAAAAATAAAAATAAAAAATTTATATATATTACGTTAGTACCACGGCAATAAAAAGTATAGTTATAGTTTGTTTATTTAAGCGATAAGCGCTTAAAATTTAGGCTGAATTTACCAATATCGAATTTTGTAAACGATAAAGATTTTTATTTTTAATTTTTTTCAATTTGCTGAACATACTTAACATACATACATGATTTGTTTTTATTTTAGTAATATAAATATCATTGGGAAGTGCTCATTTAAGGCAATATAGAAGTTTTATAATTATATATTTACGTTAGCATTTATAGTATTTTACTTAATACTAAAATGCATTTTATTGAATAACTACGTCATTTACTACACATAAAGCTGTGCATCAAATTATATTACGTTACGGCATTTTAGTGTAAAGTTCTTACAAGTTACTTGTTATGTCAGTTTTACGAACATTAGCATATATTTTTTATTTTAAAATTCATATGAGCATACATCATTGTTCACCTAAACAAATATTAACTGCTATTTATGTACAAACATTTAAACAATACCTACATTTAAATATCTATATATATATATGTGTATGTGTGCACCTACTGTATCGAAACAGATGGCCCCGCTATAGTCAGAATCAATCTTTTCGTACGAAGTATAATGACGATTAGTGATATAAAAATGGTAAGTTTAGCAAAAAGTTACAAAAAGCACACAATATCAAGCAAAAGTCATCTTATAAAAATAGCATAACAACTTTTACAAAATAAAAAATTTCAAATTAATATGTTTATTGACTTGCAAGACATATAAGAAAAAATTACTCAAAAAATAAATACCCAAAAACTCATCACATAAAATTACCAAGAAAAGCGCTTAACCAAGAAAAGTTATTTTGTATTCCCAAGATATTACATTGAATGAACTATATACTTCTCCCCTTTATGGAATGCTCACAAATAAAAACAAGCATTGCATTAATTGCCTAACAAACATATTTACTCGCATTTACTCAAAAACCCTTTTGCTCTTGTAGCCATTAAATAATACCACAAAAAATAAACAGTAAAGATGCTTTAGAGATTAAAATTTAATAAATCTATAAATAAATTTAAAAATAGCTTGCATTTATTACAAACATAGTTGGCAGCGGGTGCAGAGAATTTTAGATAGACTTCAAACACTTTTAGCCAGCAAAATCATCAACATTTCCATTAAAAACAAAAAAAATAAAAAATAAACGAAAATATTGCCATCATCACTTTTTTACTATCGTATACTTATTAGTAAAGCAAATAACAACAACCTTATGATAACTTCCACTCTCACCGATTGGTTGTAAAAAACAAATTTATTAATTGTCATGCAATTCCCGCGTTACTCACTGCTCACTACATTATTATTTTAAACCACTACTTACTTACATACATCATAAATGATCTCTATACAAATAGTGTTAAGCTGATTTTCTGCATTTTGACATACACAAGACATCATTGGCTGCTTGAAAATAAACAATCCAGTAATATACATAATACAAAACTCAAAATGCAAAGTCTTTGCTGCAGTTGAAAAAAAATATTTGCGTTATAGAAAAAAAAACATTTCCTTTAACATTACAGAAATTTCTTTCTTCACATTTTTAAGGAAATCGTAAAATAAAACAATCCAAACGAAACTAAAGACTTATGCTTCAACTACAATATTCGCGGCTAAGTTGATTTCGTTGAATTGATTTTAGCGCTTTTTCCTAATAAGATATTTTCTCAAAAGTTACCAGTCTTCAGAAAGCAAGTTTGTAAATTGATGCTAAATATATAATATTTTCAGAAAATGCTATGCTTCAGCGAATTGCTAAGCGCTTTCGCGTAGTTTTTATTAACTCGCTGCTTACCAATTGAAAAGAATATGAAGCGTTTCTTCTGCTTCAGCATTGCTCTGCCAGTTTCCAGAAAGATCGCTTCGTTATGTGAAATTTTATAGCTAAGTTTATGCTGTTCCTTGCCAATTCATAGTAATATTGTATTCTGGCTTTTTGTCTAAATTAGCAATACTACAGTTAAAAATATTATATGTATGTTAATTAGGGTGGGGTGAAAACATTCATATTTTTTCAGCCACTCAAATGTACGTATTTTGTACATATTTTACAGTCTATTCGTATAACATTTCTGCAACACAAAGTATTGATAATAAACTGAAAATGATTGACAATAAATATGTCATATGTTTATTTGACCTTCAGTAGAAGACTTTGCATAAAATCATGTTTTCCAGGATTTAAACACACACATCGTTGAACCCCATCAGTTCAAAAAGTCACCTTTGCAACTGTATTTAAAGAATTTAATTGTACGCAGTTTCTTAGAATTACGTTATTTAATATATTCATATTTGTGTTTTTTTTTTTTGTAATTTTTATCTGTTTCATGAACAATATACAATATTAAATCAGTAAAGTATATTCTAAAGTTGGAACTGAACAGTTATAAATACTTCTTTAGCTAACAACAATATTTAATCATTATCATATTTATAGTTATTTTAAAATGTATCCACAACTATATATATTTTAACATACAGTGAACTTTACTACGTAAAATCCTTCCAAAAAAAAAAAAAAAAATTTAAAGAGAAAATTTATATTGTGCATAACTCTTAATATGTATGTGCTCCAAACTGCAAGACGAGTTTCTATATACTACATAATATACGCTCTATATACAGTTTATATTAATTAATTATAAGTGTATTTTGCTGTTAGCTTAATTATGTTTACGTTAATTTGCCTTTTTGTTTGATTTTCTCAAATGTTTTTTTTTTGTCAATACATCAAAGCTGTTTGTACAGTTTTCTTTTAAATTGTTTTTTTATTTAATTTTTTATTTAATATAAGCGTTTCTTCAACAAATGTTGTACTTTACTTGCGGCAAATAGGCTTAACTTAGTTGGGTTGCTAATTCACAACTTTTGTTGGATTGTAAATAACACCATAATTTCTGTGTTTTTTTTTTTGCACAACATCGTTTTGTGCATCGAAGTGATGTAGTACGGTGAAGTCTCGTGAAATTCATGTTTTTCTTAACGTATTGTCACTGCCACTGTCGGCAATCACATTTGGAAATAAACAGGTTAATCATATATTATTTTCTTGTTACTTTTTTAATAATATTCATAAATTATATAGTTTTATCAATTCAGTTATTAATATTATTTTTTGTTGTTTAATATTACATTTTTAGGTTATGATTTTTTATATTCAAAATATTGGTAAATCCGTTCAAAACTCAAATCATGTCATTTTCAAGCTGCGAGTTTTTTTTTCAGTCAAAATATGTGCAAAATAACACCAGTACTTACCAATTTACCGAAAGAATTATTTCGACATTTTTGTATTAAGTTCGCAAGCAATGTTGCTTCGTGCACTTTGACTGCGTACACCTTTTCAAAAGCTCACAAAAAGCTTTTGCAACTATGAAAGAGCAAGTAATTAAAAAGCAGCAACAGTTATTCCCATCTAATCCAAAACAAGTTAATATACAATTATAAAAGTATTAACAAAACATCAGTTTTGTTGGTTGTTATATAATAAGAATATTTGTATACATGAAGAAAACACCTTAAATACTCGTAGACAAGTAATTGTTTATAGTTATTGGTGTATTTCCTTAACACTTTAGACGTATATCTATTTTCATGTATGAATATATATGTATATGTGTGTGTGTATTATACAGATGGTCCCGCTGTTGTGCGAGTCAACATTTACATAAGAAGTATATCTAAAATCGATGATGTCACTATGGTAAGTGCGTGTTAGGTTTACAAAAACTAAAAGAAAATCTAAAAATGAAACAAAAAATATATATATATATATAAATATATGTATATAAACAAACAACAGTCCATTAAAACACAAATATTCGTACTTTCGTATTCTGTAGTGTGTATTTTGTAAAATGTTAATTAAACCATAATTAGAACAGTTAGCAAAGCGCCATTAAACGAGTGTCTCCGCATACCCTGCAAAGAAGTCTGAACGCGTGGTGAATATGTCCTTTAGGCTCAAAATAATTTCTCCTCACAGCAATAGGCCTGTTATTAGCTAATATTTTCTTCTTATGCTTCAATTTTATTGAACCACTTAATTTCACAAAGAAACGCTCACCAGACTGCGTACATAATGTGTACTTCGAGCGCGGAAAAGTCTACAGCGAATGTTCATCTACCATACTTTTCACCTAAATATAATTTTTCGCTGTGTCTATTTACATGCATACCTACATATATGTATAACGAATTCTCAGTGAATTTTCAGTAAAACCGAATTCCATACGGATAAAGTCGCGTTTTCGCCTTCCTCTACATATTGTCCTAAACACGTCCTTAATTAACGAAAAGTGTTTAGTGTACAATTACATAATACATATAATATATAGTATATACAATATACCGACATAAAAGAAATAATGAGAAACCTCAACGTAAGAATGGTTGATACATACATACTAACAAAGGAAAACTAGAAACCAAAACAAAACTTATATATATATACCATATATTATTATAAGTGTACGAGCAAATGTGATTTATTATTATTATGTTATGATTACTATTAAAATAATTGGTATTATAATTTATATGATAATTTAGTGTTATGATTATACCACACTGGATCTTAACATAAATATTTAAATAATACTACTAATATTATAATTAATCGTTTTGATATTGATGTCTTTTTTGACGTACAATACAATTTTTGTATTATTGATTCATTTGATGAATACATTTAACATTTTCGATTATTACTTCACCTTTTATAGTATTTTTAGTTTCTTCAAAGTCTTCGTTTATTTATAATTATTCCTTTACTTAGTCAACTAGCAAATTGAATGCAGACTAGCAGTATAAATAAATCGATTCAATTATGGCGCTAATATAATGTGTTTTGGATATGCCTATTAGGTATTAAGCGTGCACACTCGCTTTTTTGTGTGATCTACATTTTCATATAAGGGCAGCTCATGCGACCCTTCATGTTGTTGTAACAGCAGCGAAATATTTCTAAGAGTATGCGGTAAAAGTTGTAGTGGCAGTTAATGTGCAAATCTAAATCGCGGTATATTTTAGTTTCATAAGTCCGTTTAACATTAGAACAGACGATGTAAAATAATTTCTACGTGCTTCATATAGTCGCCACAAATATAAGTTGCCACCATTGTAGCAAAAAATTGCGTAGCCTAATAAAACCTTTCACATTAGAAATAGAAATCGCTATCCATTTCATAAACACATACTCCTTTATAGTATTGTGAAATACTCGCCATCAACTTTTGTTACATCATAACGGATTTCATAGAATTTCACGTTCTTGAATAACACATTAGCGACTTCCGTATTTGTCATATACTTATGTACATAGTTGATTGTATTCTGCATTATGACAAAATTTTGTTTCTAAACAGCATCTAGGAAATATATGCAATTATTTATACAGTGTGGCATGTTCGGAAAGATATGGATTCATTCGGCGCATAATACATTTTTTGCCTGCACCAATGAGGTCTCGATCGATATACTACTTGCAGTATGACTTGTTCGGCAAGGTCTTAATTCTTTCGTTCGATTTAATCGTATAAGCATTATCTAGTGTCTTCATTTTAAAAACTTTAATATCAGAAAATTCTCGAAAAGGCATTGTAACTCGATTTTAAGCGCTCACATAAAATATGGTGAAATTAAAATTTAGCTGATTATTATTATTTATTTAATTGTTGCTTCAATATTTTGTTAAATGTCTAGCGTATAATTTTACATATTTTCTTTAATTTCTTGCTTTATTATTTCCAAAAAATGTAAAATAATAATTTTCTTTATATTCTTGTAAAATTTATATTATTCATAAAATAAAATTTAATCAATATTATTGTAAAATGTCTTTTGGATCTCTTTCACTCTCTCTATCTAACTATTTCTAACTAATATTAGCTATCTCTCTCGCTCTGCAACTAAACTTGTATTTAAATTAAATTTCGCAAACGTTTATAATTTAGTTATTTTTATTTTCCATTGTTGTGTTAATAAAATATATAGAAAGTTTACGCTCGAAATAGTAATTAAAATAGCGGATTAATTACTTGTAAGAAAAAGGCGTAAGAATTTAAGTAAAGTCAATGATTGCGTAACTACATACCAACATACATACATGTGTGCAATGGGATAATTGTTGAAATAAATGTCCGTGTTTAGTTATAAATTGTTTACAGCATAATGTTTGTTTTCAATAATTTTTATTAATTGATTTCTGTTTATTTCTCACCCATTACAGTACATGTTCGCCAAATTATATTTTGTGAAAATATGCTAATAAGCGCTATAAAATTAATTAATTAAAAAATTTGTTTTTGTATGCTTTAAACGTCGTTAATACCGTTTTTGTTAAAAAAAAATCGTGTAATTCGAAATTAGCTGATACTAATCATCAGTACATAAATATATATCGATTGATAATTGTTTCACTCACTAACACACTTTTTTAATTTATTTTTTATAATTATTTGAGTAGTAATAAGAGTATGTTTAAGGTCATTATATTAATTTTTAATTTTCATTTGTATGCGTTAATTTCATGATTTCGCTCTTTTGTTAAATAAATATAAAATAAAATGAAATTAGTTAAATACCGCTGCACAAACCCAAATATGACGTAAAGCAAGCGAAGAAATTACATAAAAATTAACTGACATGAGTAAACCGTTGTTTGATAAAACGTGCTAAATACCATATTAATATGTATTTGTGTTCTTTATGTTTAATTTCAACGCATCACAAGTGTTTTCAATGCATATGTTTTTTACCCACATCATGATTACTTTAAATGAGATCCATACAGACATTTTTCAAAATATACTTATTTAACAACGTACCCGCAATCATAAAATAATTTACAATTATTTCATTCACTTTCATTTCGTTCACAATTTCATCAATACTTTCAAAAACGAAAAAAAAAAATTTATATTCTAAACTAGTACGAATATTTATGGTATACTCATATACTGTATATAGGAAATACATACGTGATATACATAAGTGAGTTAGTATCGTACTTATGTACTTTAGCGACGTATTAAATTAAAGTATTATTTAAAATCACAAGAGGTGTAATTATTTAAGAACAACATTTCTCAAACATAACTTTGAGATATAATTTAGATTTAAGAATACTCTTAAAAAGGTATTGTGATTATATAATAATGCCAAACATTACTTAGTAAATATCATTTTTTAATAAAAATATTAGAACGTAAATGGAGCAGCCTGCATCAATTGCGCGTACGGATAGGCTTTAGAGAAAAATGTTAATATAATATATTTAATTGTTTTTAAAGTTGGAAATAGGTATCGAGCATTGATATAATTTGTACAGCATATTAAAGCGCATTTATGCCTGAAATATACATATAAGATTATTTACATTTTTTGTTACAAACATAATTTATATCGTATATTTTTGTCCTATATTTTGTCACAAAAAAAAAAATTATATTAAAATAAAAAATTTTTTTTTTAAATTTATAAATAAGGTTTGTGCCAATTTGTTTCGGTTATTTATAATTTTGGTTTATTTATGAATACTTTTGATTACATTAGTAATGTATACAAGTTTTTATACCCTGAACAGGGTATATTAAGTTTGCCATAAAGTTTGTAACACCCAGAAGGAAACGTCGGAGACCCTATAAAATATATACGATATATGATCAGCATGATAAGCTGAGTTGATTTAGCCATGTTCGTCTGTCTATCCGTCTGTCCGTCCGCCCATCTGTTCATCTGTCTGTCTGTCTGTATATGTATATACGAACTACCCCTCCGTTTTTAAGATGTCGATCTGCAATTTTGCACATGTCCTTTTCTCAAAGCTGCTCATTTGTCGGAACCGATGTCGATATTCGACCACTATAGCATATAGCTGCCATACAAACTGGACGATCGGAATAAAGTTCATGTATGGAAAGCTTTTTCATTCGACGCAATTTCTTCATGAAATTTGGCATTAGTTATTGCCATACAAACTGAACGATCGGAATGATGTGCTTGTAAGGAACCTTTTGTATTTATATAGGGTATTATAGCTTCGGTGCAATCGAAGTTAACGTTTTTTTCTTGTTATTTATTATTATTTTTTTTTTGAGCCAATAAGAAACATTTTTTGTTCATCAATCAAAGAACCTATACTAAATAGTCAAAATCGAATGTGAAATTCTAGAAAATGCGCCTACTCTTGTCTATGTCAACATGTTCCTACGGTCAATCTCAAAAATCGACGATTACAAAATGGTGAGTTTTCCAGTCTTTAAACAGTGAGCAAATTAATATCAACAGTTTAAAAAAAACACCAACATTTATAATGAGGCCATTAATGTATGTTATACATACTGTATAATTAATATTGAATATCATTGAGTGGTTTTTCAAACAGCTGTTACTAATAGGTGCAAATAACTTTTTGGAACGATAGGCCGATATTGTAAAGCAAGTTCAGAAACTATTATCTACATCTGAGTATAACGGAGGGTAACGTTTTTTTTTTAAAAATAACTCTGTAAAATAGTTCAAAGTTCTAACATCGCAAGTGTAATTTGTTGTGTTTTGGAATTATATTTTATATTTCCCAATTTCTTCTGACATGAAGAGTTAGTGACTTACATTTAATTAGAAAACTTAAATGCAGCTTTAATGCCTTTGGTAATTAACCACAATTAATAATAATAAACTAATATTTTATCTAAGTAATAGCAATCTAAGAGGTTATATCCACTTGCAAGTCTAAAAACGCATTTTTTGTAATTTTTTTTAAGAGGCATTTTATTTAATAAATAAGTATATAAATGCGCATTTATCGATCTCCAGGAGATTCGAAAAAATGTATATGGCGATGAGCATGATTTCTGCTGATTTTTTGATTAATAAATTATTATTACTCTAGATGAATACAGGTAATGATCGAAGGACTAGTCAAAATTTCTATTTTTGATAAAATTTACACATCAGCGTGGCATAAAAAATTATTATCAAAAATTCTATTGTTTCGTTCATTAACCGATAATTATTTCTAAGAAAGTGGTGTGCAAATTTCAAATCAATCGGTGCAGCTGTTTCGGAGAAATTTACTTCACCGACACTGAAAACAGCGTTTTGAAAAAATGCGTTTAAAATTTTGAGAACCGATTACACTAGGTTGAAGTGTTTTTTTTAAACACGCTCACATCTCTGAATCTATTTGCCGTATTTACTGCGAATTTTCGGAGAGTATTCTCTAATATATGCAAATATATAATATATACCATAAATGAAAAAAAAACAGAGAAATCCATTTTTTTTCTTTTGCCAATTCACAGCTGGATATAACCCCTAAAGGAAACTAAGTCGCTACAAGCACACTGTTTAAAAGCTACTCAATGATTGCCTATTTCAAAAATTTTATATATAATTATTTCATAATTTATTTTTGACCAAAAACACCTTTACTAAAAAGTGCGTATTCGATCAAAAAACTTGCTATACACAAAAGTTGCTGCTTAGCTTTATAGAATTATATGTTCTGAAAACCAAACTTCTTTTGTAAGATACCGCAAAACACGTTTCAAAAAGAAATATAATTCACTGCTACCAGGCTCTGGTGACCATACTTAACAGCTTTTCAATTCAAATAGCTCATCCTTATAGCCAGCTAAAGGCAAAACTCAAACTCAAAACACTCAATTGTACTATAATCCCACACAGCTGTTGGACCTTAATAATCACACCCGTCTTCATCGTTCTACATGCGAGAAGTGTTCAATTTGCGACACGCTTAAAACCCAACGCTTTCGTAACAACTCGATTACTCGGCCATTTGAGCTTTCACTTTCACTTTTTAAGCAGCAATTCACCACTTGTAATAACAACAACTACTACCGTTTTCTCTATGTAAATTACAAAACCAAAATTGCTTTTGTGTTAAATAAACTTGTATATGATATCTAATGAACAATATCAATGTATTTGTATTATACAAGAATAAATATTTAATGTAAAAAGATCAGATGTGTATTTTTCATGGTTTAAGTAAAAAACTTTTGTTCACAACAGCATCACAATTTTCATTACTAACCTAACTACAATATTTATTATTTCTCCACTCCAGTGACATACATTTTCCACTGTACTAATATATTCTAATGTCTACGCTTGTTTTCCGACTACACGTAAAGCTGTAAATTGTAATTAAAGAAGAATACCATTGATATTTAACCTAACTATGTCTATCAACTATTATTCCAATGCATACCATACATTTATATTTATAAACACATAAGTTTTTTTTGGTTTAAGAACTGTGCTTGTTTGTGTCATAAAGTCCATATGATTTTATCGTTTCTCACATTTCGAAATCGTGTGCATCTTTTAACAATTCTGTTCATTGTAGCATTTTCAAATGTTTTTTAGTTTGAGTTTTAAATTAAAATTATTATTTTTGATTTTAAAGAAAATTAAAACATTTAAAACTCATATTCATAATTTCGGAAACTGCGGTTTTTATCATTAAAATCCATTATTGTTGTGTTTATTTCTAATAAATTAATATCTACAATGTAAAAGTATATATGTACATACCATACATATATACTTAGTCTTGCCATAAGTTGTGTTACAAAGTTTAAAATGCATACACCGAGAAAATAAGTATGGAAAAAAACGCAATTTAAGAGCAACTCAAAAAACTTAGTGTCTGTCTTTTAGTGTTTCCCAAACGTGTGGAGTTGTTGACATAAAAAGAAGTGATAGTCCTCGCGTATTTCAAACCAATTTAGCCATAAAAACTATTTGCAAATATATTCACAGAAAGCCTTTTAGAAAACAAAAAGTTATGTCAAAGGATATGGATATATCGACCAAATCAAAGTCAAGCCTACCGTCAGTCAACTATTAAAAAAGTATTAATTAAGCAAAAACTTCCAAAGCGCCAGGAATGTTATTCCAACGGTTCAACGTGCTCACAATCTAGCTGTTTTAATGCTTTGGTGGGAAGTAAAGGCGTTACACCTACTCACTTCTGTGAAAAACAGTTAAACCTGAGGCTCAGCAGGATGCTTTAGAATGCTTTACGCTGGAGAGTAATGCATCTTTCGGCAAGTTTCTGTTTCAGCACACAAAGCAATAGACACCAAGCAGTGGCTTAAAATCAATATTACTGGTTTCATAACTGCATATGAAGGATCATCTAGAAGTACCGATTTAAATCCATTGGAATATTGTTTGTGTTTAGAAGAATATGGTCCATCGATTACCACACAGAAATTTGGAGTGTCTTAATCTTAGGAACAAGCTGCATCGTCAATACCAAGAGTAACAGTTAATGAATTGATGCATGACATTGAACAATGTCGAAATCGTTTGAGGGTTCGTGTAAAAGCAAAAGTTGACCATTTCGACTAAAATTTCATTAATCGTTTTTCTAACAGCCTGCACTTGTAACAGAACTTATGGCAAGCCTAAGTACATACCTACATTATGTTTTTAAGTTTTTGTTGAGAAAAATTAGAAACTCTTTTTATAAATGCCCTTGTAAAGAATGTGCCTAACACAACAAAGAGAACAATCAAAAGGGCATACTTTTAGTTTTTCACAGATTTTTCTTTCGTAGATCTATATAGTTGTTGCTAGCTTTTTATTATTAAATGGTAGAGATTACATGTATTAATAGTTTCTGTTTTCAATAAGGAAAGCTCAAGAGACAAACCACAACACATTTGTAAACATAAAAAACAGGAGGAATCTACTTAATCATTTTCGGGAATTTTAAAAGTGTTTATAGCTTGCCTATGAATTTGGGTATGACCTTGCGATCGTTAGCAGTTTTCACCTAACCTATGTTTTGAACTAAGAAGAATCTACAGTTTTAAACCACTTTTTAACTCCTTAGTTCATTAGTTAAAAGCATTGGCATCTAATATGATCTCGGGAAGATATGCAAAATTTTAAAAAGATTAATCCATGGCCAATGATAATGGAGTTGTTTCGAGTTTAGTTAGATTTTACGAAAAGTTTTTTCTAAAGATTTATAAAAGATATTCATTTTGCATATCATAGTCTAATAATATTTTTAAAACAAATTGATTTTATCTATATTATCAAGCGAATCTCGCGCATTTGCAGTTATCAAAAATTAGTTTTTTGAATAGTATTTTATATTTAAATTTTGTTATTATACTTGCTGCGGTATTCAATTTCGTGGTATTACTCATGCTAAGCTAAAAAAAAATTTCTAAAAAAAAAATTGAAATAAAAAATAATATATTTTTAGAAAAGATTTTAAAATTAAATTAAAAAATAATAAATTTCCAGTAAAATTTTTATATATACTATATTGTACATACTTTTTTTTTAAATTATTGCTTTAAAAGTCATCAATCTCACATTTTTCATGATTTTTTACTATAATATCTGTTCGCTCATTTCATCATGTCTATTTCGAGTACACTTTGTACAAAACCGCTATTTCTACATTGTTTGATTTACTGCTTACTTTTAACGAAACTAAAAGTCCACCAGTTAAGTCAATAATGTAAACGTAAATAATAACAACAATAAAGTGTACAGCAATATTACATAAATAATATTTTTTTTAACCAAAATGTGCATTGGTGCAAAAATCAGTGTTGAAATAAATAAAGTAGAAGCACATAACGATTTATCAAGCACCAAACAGTGTTGTTTAACGCCGCAAAACTAATACACAATTGTATTTACTCACATATATGTGCAATACTTACAAGTCTACAAGAGACACAAAGCTGGTAAATATGTTTATAATTTCACTGTAAAAACTAAGTTATATATTAGGCATAATATTAAAAAAAAATTCCAGATTTATATATACGTAAAGTGAGAGCAATAAATAATATTATTACAATATGACAACACTAAAAGCATATCAATATTACATACATATATAGTGTATTTAATTTACATAATGTACAGTTAGGCGCACAAATATCATCAACTTTTCATTTCTTAATTTTTATAGTTTAATTATGAAATCTGATTTCCTGCGAAACCTTTGTCTGCGTTTCAACTGATAGCTTTTGTTGAGCATAATTGCATATATCGAATTAACAAAAGGAGAAGCTAACTGTTTTATAGTGCGTTTATACTAGAAATTACTTATTTCGTCTAAAAAGTCTATTTACATATATATTTCAGTCAGGAGTGCTCTTTGAACGTAACTGCGGGCAGAGCAATAGTTATTTTTGAACAAATAGCACTAATTAATTATTAATAATTCTGCAATATTTACTTTAATAGTGAGTAATTTTAAAAATTAACTAATTTGTATAATAATTCGTCAATTAAAAAAAAAAAGCTTGCAATGTGAATCGTGAGTAATTTTCTTTAAAAAACGGTGCTTACAGATTTTTTATCCGATTACCTGTACTTCGTAAGTACTGTACTCGTACTGCTAAATTACATTCCAGCAGTCTTTAAAGCGTTATTTTTATTAAGTTTACCTTGTTGAATTGGTTTTTATTACATTTGTTCATTTTTGTTTTGGTTAATTAGTTCGTTTCTTGTTAATTATTGTATAATTATGCAAAACAGCGTAAAACAATATTCTTTTCATTGCTTTATTTACGTCTAAACTTCTCTTAACGCTATTTCAATATTTTGTTTAGGTGTTTTCTCTGTTGCTTTTAGATTATCCGGTAACCCTTATTTTATCACTGTTGCATGTAAATGTGCACGTTTCTACGTAGTAATTTAGTACCTGTACATGTTTTTGGTTTTTTATTTCTGATTAATCATTAAAAGAATCATAAATTTTTTCTATTCAATTTATTTATGCTCATGTAATTCTGTATAAAATCCACAAGTTAAAAGCGTAAATGAAAATTTAATAAAAAAAGTTTATATTTTCACATTTTACAACTAATTAGTTAATATTTGAATCCGGGAAAATGAGTAATATATAGTCTAGTTAGTTAATTACTGAGAATGTCATTAATTATTGACCAAAAATAGCAAAATACCACGTTTTCCTGGGAATCTTTTACCACAGTGTTTTTTAATGAAAAATTAAAACGAAAGCCAAGTAAAGTTTTCACTTTAAAAATGGTTTCTACTAATTTTAATTTGTGATATTGCTAATGAGTAACGGCTCTAGGAAGAAATATATAAAAATTTTGAGTTTATATTTGAAAATACTTAATTTATCAATATACACAAGCACTTTCAGAAATATTTTTATTTTAAGCGAGTTATTCGCTATTTCCCAAATAATTAAAAAACAAATCGTCCACTGTTGTAGTGGTTGCGGTCTTCGCCGTGATTGAAAACAAAATAGTATTAAAGATTATGAATTTATAAGGTATTACCTATAAAGTTGTAAAGTATAAATGGCAGTCTTTGAAAAAATTTTTTTCGGCTACACTTTAGCAAGCTGTAACTCAAAACTATTTGAAATATTTATTTAAAAAGTAAGTATTTTATATCTATATACTGTCGAAACAGGCCAAAATAAAAATAATGATTTTCTTGAAATTTCACACTACATAGTGGTACGCCTTTAATATTGTAAAAGCTAGTCAGGGTGATACTACAAGCTATGTCAAAGTCATAACACGGCTTTATTCGTTATGTTAATCGTAGTGGCAAATTAAATTCGTATAGCTACAGCTAATTCGTTTTTTTAACAACCCAAATCGCTACCAATTACTCTAACGCTAGCTATTAGAAACTGCACTACTACAATTATATAGGATTTTTAATGAAAATGAAAATTTAACAAAAATTACACTTTTAATATATACATACAATTAATTCTTTAATAAAAATTTTATTGCAAATACATAACTTGGAGCAATTTAACTTAGCAACACTATAGCTATGAAATAAAATCAGTGCATAATATTGTTGCTGCGCAATCATAATAAGGTTTTGAACTTTAGTAATGTGCGATACATATATTACAATAAAAAAAAATCTGAAAATAAGCACTTTAATTTAATGCTGCCACGTATTTTAAGTGCTTAATTTTACACAATATTTTCACTTTATTTAATAACTGAAACGTTACAAATGTACTTACAATTAAATGATGATGATTTATAAATTAAGCTGCTACCTAATTATAACAGTTACTTTATAAGTTACGTATATTTATTACAGTTAATTTTTGCCTGCCTACTGCTTACAATATATTCAATACCATACAACTTTTAATATTGTTAACGCAATACTTGCTAAAATATATTTACTTTTATATAAATGTTTAGTATATGTATTTACCAACTGATTACTGATTACCTAATATAATATAATACTTATATGGTATAATGTATGCTATTGGTGAATGTGACAGAAATATTTGAATGCCACTGCATTACCGCTGCTGCATGTTGCTTTCCAATCTTATAACTGTACTAACCGAACAAACTGCTTATCGCTAGCGCTTTTGATGTTGCATTTATCTTGCTTGTCTGCTTGACTTTAACTATTGCTTGCTTGACACATGCTTTGTACTCGTATGCTGGCATGAACTGTTATTTTTGCGAAGAAATTTCTTACACCAACTCATCTTAACCGCTGCAGAAGAGAAATTCCGTATCAGACAAATGAAGCCACCCTTAAATAAATTATGAAATTCGATAAAACCACGCTTAACGGCACATATCGAAAACATACCCGAGCATAAACCAAAAATTTGTATAAAAATTAATAATGAATTGTGCGGCCCATATACACCAACCACACCATCATTCGCATTCGAGTTGCTTTATAAACCACTTACTATAATGCTAAATTTCGACTTATGCAAATTCTTTGAACAAGCTCCCAAAATTCGTAGAACCCACTTAGATGCATTGCAAAAAGAAAAAACAAAAACAATAAAACCCAATACGAAACAAATTGACTATGCAAAATTGCAATTTACCCATTTCACTATTTACTCGCTAATTACCAGGCCAATTAAATCGAAGAGCGCATTAGATAATTAGAAAAATCCATTGTAGTATAGTGTTACATAATCATTATCGAAAATCATAGACTTAAACAATTACATTTGCTTATAAAAGTTTTTATCCAAATATGAATTCGACTAATCGACAATTTTGTGTGTGCGTGCGTGTACAGGAATACAGCGTGCAATTGACTTTCCGCGAGCAATGGACCGATGAGCGGCTGAAATTCGATGACATACAAGGTAAATTGAAATCAAACGCTTACATTTAACGTGTTTTGATTAGTAAGAAAATTTCTGTGTTATTAAAAGAAATTTATTTGCAAACAACTCCAAGCGAATTGTGGCGCTGACAACAACAAAAAATATAAAAATTGAAATACATATTAAAACAACATAATTAAAGGCGTCCCAATTACTAAGTAGCCGATTTATATTAAAGTAATCGTAATTATAGTAAAGGTCTCATAGCTAACAAAAATTAGTACATGAACATCATGGGATATTGTCAGGCGCGAAATTATAGTTTGAGAGCAGCTTTGCAAAGTAATATATTTTAAGGATATATATTTATGTATTACTCTCTCAGAAAGGCTCGATCTGCGTATAACGTTTTATTTGAAAGGCACTTCGCATAAATTTGTACTTCACTATGAGTCTAGTTCAATTTATATTCGTTGCTGCAAATAACTCTTTTATGGCTTGTGGTTCCTGACACTAATACCTTGTACAACTGGATAATATTCGAAGACATATGTATTTATCTTCATAACTATTCATTCGTGACTTAAGCCCCATTGCTGTGGCTTATTTTGATATTCTTAGGATCTTCAAGAGTTTTCAGTTCATCCATTTACCACACAAAAAAAATTTATTAATTTCATAACTAAACGTGAGACGCTATAAACAGCGATACTTAACTAAAAATTTATGTTGATGTTATCCCCAAAAAGTTTGCAACAAATTTATATCCTTATTACATAGAATCAAGACAGTCTTAGAAGTCATATAACATATATTATTAAAAGATATTCAATAATAATATATGGCAAGTAATATAGTATTTCATATATAGAACCAATCTACCAATAATGATATCTATTGAATCAGGAAAATGATATACCAATATAATAGTCCGATTTCATTCCCAACCGATAGAAAATGTTTAGCGTTTAATAGTGCTGCGCTAAAAAATTTGATTTGAGAACATTTCAGGGCCCTTTAAAGATCGTTCTTTACTTATAACACACTTTCTAATTATTTAAATCCAAATCTTTGTTACAAAAACAGTTTACAGAGACAGATATTTCTCAGAACTATTTTTATGTTTTATGTTATTTGCAAAAATATTTTTTCGATACTGTCTCGATTACTAGATTTTAACTATCTTAGTTACTGAAAATAAAAATTTATTTCAATGCTCATTCGTAATACCCTTTTGTATACTTGTATTTATTTTTCCAAATAACAACATTATGCTTTCACTTTGACAGGTCGTCTCAAGTATTTAACATTGACTGAAGCGAATCGTGTATGGATGCCCGATTTGTTTTTCTCAAATGAAAAGGAGGGTCATTTCCACAACATAATCATGCCGAATGTTTATATACGCATCTTTCCAAATGGTTCCGTATTATACAGTATTCGTATCTCACTGACGCTGGCTTGTCCAATGAATCTGAAATTATATCCCTTGGATCGACAAATATGTTCACTGCGCATGGCTAGTTGTGAGTTCAAAACCAAATGAAATTATGAATTATTATTTGAAACGTGCGCCTTTAAAAATAAATGACACTAACTATATATTAGGGTGGAGCGAAAAAAAATTTTTTTTTGCTTAGTCTGAGGGTAAAATTCGTAGTTTAAAAAAAAGGAAATTTTTGGAAAAAAATAACTTTTTTTCGCTCCACCCTACTTTTTATATATCTAACATATATATAACAAATATATATACATATATAAATAATAGCAAATGTTGTTTACAAATTATTAAAAGTAGCTTATTATTGATTCATCGTAAGCTAACCTTACTTTTTACCTATCTTAAATGCTGTGATTTTATACTTTTCTTTCCACAACTAAAGAAACATATGTATTATAATATTTAGCGCTTAATCCAACTTAAATTTTCACAGATGGTTGGACAACAAACGATCTGGTATTCCTGTGGAAGGAGGGTGATCCAGTGCAAGTGGTTAAAAACTTACACCTACCTCGCTTCACACTTGAAAAATTCTTGACTGATTATTGCAACAGTAAAACTAATACGGGTATGTTGTCTCTTTAGTTCTTATTATGTTTTTTAAAGTTTTCTGCGTTGAAAATAAAATTCGAAGTTTAAAAAATAATATTTTCGGAAATCAAGTAATATTTGAATCTAGTTGGTGTCATCTTTGAAATGTGAACGCTCCATTCAAGTTGCATTAACTGTACCAAACGGTACATACATACAATCATTCATATTAAAATTAAATATATTCTATTAACGAACATAATGTTTTTCTAATATTTAGTATATTTATCTAAATATATACAATTATTTACTTATAATAATTATGCAATTGTCTAATTTCGTTGAATAAATAATTCAAACGCATCTTTTATATACCTGCCTACATATATACTTATATATTTAATATTTGAATTTATATACCTGTTGATGTTTTTCCGTTGTGCTTGTTTACACTTACTTAAATATGTAATTAATTACATTCCTTACTTTCATTTTATGATAATATTTTCGAAAACATGCAAAATATTGCAAGAAGAAGTTGTTTGTTAACCAAAATACCAGTAATATTGCTTACCGCCCACCAACACACATATAGACTTATAGAAGTAACTACACGCACACATGCCCACACATCACACCAATTTTAAGCATACTCACCACCAGCACTAGACGCAGTCGAGTACTATACCGCCAACCATGAGTCAGCAGGGAATGTGGCATTTAATATTGTAGCGCTAGAGAAATGCTAATTGCCTTGTGATTGGCAATTTATAAACATAATATTTTAGCATATTGGGTAGGCTGTGAAAAAAGAAAAGAATCCTCAGTTTGGAAGTTTTATTACATTTTTATGATTATTTAACCAAAAAATAAAAAATGTGCAAGCGGTAGGTGATTCTATTTATAATAATATATTTTTATCTATAAGTTTTGGACTGGTATAGTGCAGATATTAATATAAATTTTGATTATCTTATGCATGCCTCGTTTCCTTAAGTTTTATAGTAGATCAAGTCTTTTAAAAATTCTTATATCGTTAGCACTTATACCAGAGCTGAGAGTGAATCCAACAAACGTGTACTCACTTCTTTTCTAGTTCTAATAGTATGTAGGTATTCGGAGTGAGTTCCCGCTAAGCACAACAAGCAAATCTGTTAAATAACATTTGCAAAAACACAGAAAATTCGAATTTAATGGTGAACGTTTATTAACATTCGAAAGGGGCATTTATTTTTTGAAGATTATCTCTTTCAAATCTTGGCTACACCTCAGACAGTTCATACGTTAAGTTTAATTTTCACTCTTCACTTCACTACGTGCTGGACGTGGTCTATTCGGTCGAATATTATTCAATAATGAACGCTGCGTCTCAAGATGGGTGATAGTGTTGCGAATAGTAATCTTAGTAGGCCGATTATGTTGACTATAAATTGAGCGAAGCGCGCGAAACACATACTTTACAGAACGTCAATTTGCATAATAAAGTTGTACAATTTGTAAACGTTGTTCAGGCATATAGCTACCACGTTTAGTTTTGCATATTTTAGATAAGTTTTACTATTGTGCGCAGGGTTGCACCACAAGTGATGTGTGTTTATTTGAGCAGCTGGTATAGTTTGTTCGATTCACTGAAGAGTAATGCTTGGCGAACCGAAGACAGCTATAATACAAGTATATTCCAGTAAGAAAGAGAACAGTATATGCATATTTTACATAAATGAAGAAAAATATTTATGTAAAATAATTTTTAAAGGTGAGGTGCAAGATGTTTAGCTGGGTTTCTTCCTCGCATAATTGTGTGCGTATTAATTGTAAAAAGCTCTCAAATGCTAGTGGTTTTCAAAAGAAATTTTTAATGTCAAAAGTACCAAGAAATGTCTTTCGAGAGAAATTTCGAGAAATTTTGAAATGCCTAAGTGCACACCGAATTTATATTATTAGAAATAAATACATTTAACAACTCGCGCAAATTCTTCGCATTTATGCATTTATATAGCGTCCCATTTGGTCTTTCTCATATACTATGTGATATTTAGATTTCTAAAAAATATTTCAGAATTCTATTGGGTTAAAGTTTATGTTACTAAGAGGGGGAAATATTTCTTTAGAACTAAAACTATATGCTTACTTATACAACAGGCTGTAAGGAATTGCATGCAAAGCCTCATACTCGCTAATTGCTGCTCGCAGTTTTTTTAAGCACCGAAACGGTTTGGTTTTGATATCGCGAAGAAAATATTTAGTTTTAAGTACAATAACAATTTTTGACTAGATTATAAATAATATAATAAAATACCCATGAATAACGAGAAGTAGGCTAAACAAAATTTGATTTCAACATTTGCAAAAACTCAATTCCTATAATTTTCTTAGCCAAGCAAATATACTTTTACACTATTTTCAATAATTAATATTCATTTGCATTTTGAGTTTGAAGCATGAACCTTTTTGAACATTTTAAATAGTACATAGTTATATTTTTTTTTTTAAATATTATTTCCATAAGAAACATTGAATATTAATTTTGGGTAAATTTAGAATTTGTTACAATATTTACTTAGACTGAAATAACATTTTTACAAAAATAAAATTTCTCAAATAATAATAAATAGCAAACCACTAAATTCGTTTAATGTAGTGAAATAACCGAAATAGAATAGCTTTAAATAAAAACGTGAATTTATAAACAAACACACATACAAATGAAGAAATGATGCAGTAAGGCGATAAATTTAATTATTACAAACATTAGTTTAAATATTTTAATACTGTTAGTTGCCGTTCTGCATTGGATGTTTAGAGCAGTTAGAAAATATTAGACATCGTGCAATATTAACAGCGTTTTTGAGTAGAATATTTTTTGTACACAACACTGACTAAACTTTAATAATGACAATATAACTATATACATTTTTAATTAATTTTTAGTACAATTTTATTGCTACAAGTTAAAAAAAATCATCTAAAAAAATACCAAAAATACTACTGCTAAATCATTTGACAATATCTCAGCAAAATTCAAATCACAAAATACACACATATGCCATACACACTCACACACATACATAACTAAATGCCCGCACATTACTTAAATAACCACTAACAGCAACTACTCAAATAACATAGAAACTCTCAAAACTTTCAGAATCCAAACTAACATACTTAACTTTCCACCCAATTTTGCGAATTCTGCGAAGAACTTCACAATGCAAGACAAATTGAAATTGGACAATAAATGAACAATTCTATATGCCAGATGCATTGATGAGATAGATTGGGAAAATCGAATTTAACGCCACGTTAAAACTTGAAAAAATCAGTAAAACTTTTTAAAGAAAAACTTGAAAAAAGAATGTAATGAAAGAAGTTACAAAAATATGAGAATGTGTACTAATAAACAACTTTGTCTTGAAGAGTATGGAACGCTTTGTCAACAAATTAACGGAAATGAACAATATAATGTATTCTTAAAAATTAAAAAATAGCATATATTTACAATTTTCGAAAATACGTTTCAATTCCGTTAACATTTTTGTTGCTATAAGAAGAAAAACTCTTGAAAAAAATCTAAAAACGCTGCTGTTATTTATGTTTGCCTATGACTAAAAGAAAACTTATAATTTTTGACTTATTGCCTTTTTGATTTTTACAAAACATGCAGTGTTCTTTCAAGCAAATAATCCGTTTAAGGATATGTAGCGATCAGCATTGAAATGTCGTTAACAGAAAGTTATCATTTCACATATCGTTTCAATGTGTCAGCTCACAAGCACATAGTATGTTTCGCGTTATCCATATTGCTGACCGCTATATACAGTTATACATAGAAAGTCGTAATTTAAGCAAATCCAAAAGCCAGACGCAGACTTATGCGCGCTACTCCAATGTTTTGCAAGGTGTTTCGTTAGCTATGCGTCCAAGAAAAGCCAGCATCTCGTCATGTACTTTCTAAAATCTTTTCGTAAACATTTTTGATATAGACATACATTTATAGTTCTAGATATGTGACTAATTTTAGGTTAAAAATTCTCTGAATTTTTAGCTGCAAAAAATATATAAAAAAATATAGCAAGCGATTGCTTCACAAAAGGGGTTTTACTCGAAGTAATATTTCAATTGTATCTTATAGATATCGGTGTAGTCGAGCATTCTTCAAATATTGAAATGTCGTTCCTTTATATACTTTTATTAACAGAAAAACATTCAGTTATCCACACACTAAATATATTGTACATTGAGATTACTGTAAATATAATAATTCCCCAAATGTTTCAAACATCGTTTCGGTATAGTAAGTGCTATCTAAAGACACGTTACGTATCAGCGCGCAAAATGCCAAACAAGTTTTAATAAAAATTGCTGTTGAGACTGGGTTTACACATGAAGACAATTTTTTCATATGAGCGACTTCAGTTGTCGAACTCGAGTCGAACAGATTTAAGCATACTTTTGATGTTTTTAAGCGATATGCAAAAATATTTTTCATTAGCTAATTTGTACGCTTATACACCACTTTCTTAAATGTTAATATTACATTAGATATATTCGTTTACATATTTGTATCTTATATGCATATGATAAAATTCAAATCTCCGAACATATTGTAAATATTTTAACACATATTCTTTTGAAAACGTGAGCAATTGAAACCATGGAAAGAAAACCAAAATTAAAACATATGCCGGATTGCGTAGTAGCGTATTGTTGCGAACCAGAACATAAAGCATATGACTCGAGCACGAGTGACTCGGTATATTTTTCTTTGCTCGTCGTTCTCTCACGCGCAATTAACAAATTTGCGTGACAAAAGTCTTCGTGTGTGAACTCGCCTTAAGGTTTAATGTCTTCTGAGTTCACCTATTTCAAAAAATTTTTATTAATGAAAATAAGGAAATAAATAAAAGTGAAAAAGCACTGCAGCATTTGTATATAACCACGTGTACTTGTAAAATTTTTCTACCAAACTATTAATATTTTTTTTTCTCAAAATTCACCAATTTAAAAAGTCAGTTATGAGGTTTTTAATTTTTTGATGTTTTCATTTTTGATGTTTTCATTCGTATATGTGTATTTCATAACTGTTTTATGTTTTGTGTGAGCGCCCCAACGAAATGTTTTCGGTTTTGACTTTTATGAACGATACCTTGTATACTCATAGGTGAATACAGTTGCCTCAAAGTCGATCTACTATTCAAGCGAGAATTCTCATATTACTTAATCCAAATTTATATCCCATGCTGTATGTTGGTCATTGTCTCATGGGTGTCATTCTGGCTTGATCAAGGCGCCGTACCAGCACGTGTGTCATTGGGTAAGTCGAAATAAAGAAAAAGACGAAAAAAAAAAATAAATAAATAAAGCAACACAAAGCACAGTCGAGTTAACGTAGTAAAAAAAGAGAAGAAAAACGAAAACTTACAAACAAAAAAGTTTTCTTTTAATTATCACACATCTTTATTAAATACATAGTCACTTAAATATATAATTTTTATAAAAGTAGTAATTTGTTATGGCATTCATGGCTCGAGTACTCCTTACAGAATACCAGCAATTAAAGTTGAATACAAAAATTTAAACAAAAAACCTTTGTTACGTGTTGTTTTTCATTTTCATAGTGAACCTTCTAATTTTTGCAAAATATTTGAATTAAGTTCTATCTGCCGTAATTACTTACTTAGTTCTTTAGCTACAATATTTTATGTGTGTGTGTGTGTGTTAGCAAGGTATAATCTTGGCTGCACCGCTAGCCCTTCGTGACATGATTCGATTGATATTTTACAGGTGTCACCACCCTACTCACCATGGCCACGCAAACGTCTGGCATAAATGCCTCACTGCCGCCTGTCTCCTACACGAAGGCGATCGACGTTTGGACCGGCGTCTGTTTGACATTCGTCTTTGGCGCATTGCTCGAATTCGCGCTGGTGAACTATGCCTCCCGTTCAGGTTTGAATAAAGCTAGTAATTGAGATTTTATATGCTTCTTATTCAATGTATTTGTATTAATTGATGGTGTATTTTGTTTATTTTTTCTTCACATATTTGAATGTGTGTGTGTAACTGTAAATACAACACAACAACTACTACTACTACTACACGAAAAAAAATATATGCATATGTATAAAACAACAAAAACACAAAATGAGTGCGAATGTAACCAAACAACTAGCTTACTAACAGATGTGATAAAATAACAGTAAAAAATATTATTTATGAAAAATATAAATAACAAAACCAATAACAACACACCACAGGCTTGCCATTGTTGATTAAAGTTAAAAAATGTGGCTCCACAACAATACGAGTATTTAGGCAAACACAATAAGTAAACTTAAAATGATTCGAATATAAGTATGTACATATGTACATACATACATACATAGTACATATGTACTGAAGATGCATATTATATATGAAGATTGCGTATATCGCCGGAAAGCGAGCCTTTAAAACTAAACAACTAAAATTAATTGAATTTGCATGTTGAACGAGTAAATTATTTATTGAATTACATTTGAGCTGCAGCAAAGCCAATAAATGTAGGCAAAGCTGAATTAGTTTGGTTTTTCATTACTTCTTATTATATATATTTTATTATTATTTTTATACTCGTACAACATCTTGCTACAGAGTATAATAGTTTTGTTTACCTAAGTAGTAGGGAGTAGTAAAACAAGGGGTATTTTTTGTGAAATTTTTTTTGATGAAACAGTTTAAATCTATTTTTAATGGTACATCATAGTATGACACTTGAAGACTATTTTCTTGAGTTTTCATGAAGAAATATTGAAAAATACGGCAATGGCAGCAGCTACCCTGGGGCGTCCCTAAAAAAAGTAGAATGTAGTTCTCCTCAAAACTCGATGCTGGATAAATTAACTCAAAAAATCAAAACTATACGGTTAATTAATCGCTTTGCGCAGGTAATGCGGCGGTGGGGTTTTTCAAAATTTAAAATTAATTTTAACTTTTTGGGAAAATTTCGAAGGAAAAAACGCAATTTTTAGCGAAAAAACCGATCAATTTCTTATTGCAGAATGAAAAATTTTAACAAATTTAATCAAATCTTCAGCGTCACCACGTAAATTATGTATAGAAATAGTGTTCAAAATTTGAAAACGATCGGTGTAGTAGTTTTGAAGTTATGAGTGGCAACAACTTTGAAAACGTGAGTTGTGGGGAAAACGCTTCAGAGTTTTGAAAACTGCTGTAAAAGGTTCATAAGACAGGTCTGAAAATACTCGTTGTTTCATCGATTTTGCTAAAATTGTTTTAAAGACAAGATTAATCTAAGGCAAAATAAAAAGGGTAAAAAATCATTTAAAAACCCTACTCCCACTTAACGGTTACTGGTTTTATTATATACCGTCATCTTTTTCTAGTTGCCATATGCTGAATATACAGATTTTCAATAGTTATTTTTCACAAAAATTTTTCATTATTATGTAACTAAGTGTTATTAATTTGTAATTAATTATAAGTTTATCTTTTTAGTTAATAAGCTCAATGTAATACAATAAATATATAGTTGACTCATAACAAAGTTGAAATTAGTCACAAGACAATTGGTGTCTCACGTAAACAAACATAGAAGAGCTGACATAATTTAAATTTCATATAATCACCAAATTAATGATATGTGATGACCTCTGAGTCTATGCTAAGGATACCCTACTAATACAAGTATTCTATTTTCTTATTTCATCCTCCCTTTTCGCACCAAAAAAAATAAACAATCAACAAACTGTAAATACTAACTAACACCAATAACTAATAAAATATGAAAATAAATGAACGTAAAATATATTTCGGAAACATTTGTCATTACAAAACATTTCACTACACATAATTACATTCAATCCATGCATAATTTGTTTTATTAATGTCTTTTAAATTGATTGATTGCAATTGCAACTCTTACTATGTTTCGGTAAATAAAATAATATATTTCTTTTTTTACTTTTTCATTACATACAATTCGCTGATTCAAACATAATTTCCAAAAATCACTTAATTTTTAAAAAAAAAATTTATTTTAATTTTTTTAAAATAATTTTTTAAAATTTTTTTTTAAATAATTTTTTAATTTTATTTTAAATAATTTTTTAAATTTTATTTTAAATCATTTTTTAAATTTTATTTTAAATAATTTTGATTACATGGTTTCGCTATTCAATTCGTTTGAAATTTTACCCATAAATGTTGTATACTTTTTTAATAAAATTATTTTTTATTTATATCTGGTAACGCTGAAAACTTACTTTGCTAAATGTGCAATTATCTGTGTCGTTTGATTTCTTCTGTCTTTGTTGCTAAAACATATTGCGCATGCACTTTTGTGTTATTTTTGGGTTCCCTCGTGCTTGCCCTTCACCCCTTACTTTTTTCATTTATTACGAAATTTTTAATAAATTAAAAAAAAACATCACTTTTTGCTGGGTGTATTCGTATTTGTCGCATTTTCCGTAAATTTGTATAATCGTAAACAACAACAATAACAACACTAAAAATGTTGCATGTAAATACAATCTTCCTCATTGGCACAAAAACACACGCACACATGCGCGAACAAAACTTGTGTGGAACAAATAAATTCTTGTCCAACATTTTTTATCCCATGCAACATAATTATATACGGATCGGGCCGCAGACATACATAAGGAGAATTTGAAAAAGAAACGTCGCGATTTGGAGCAGGCCAGCTTAGACGCTGCTTCAGATCTGCTCGACACTGACAGTAATGCAACATTCGCAATGGTATTTGTCAAAAGCTTATTCTTACATGCATATATACTTGTACTATATTAATATATATTAACACTATTTTGATAGCTTATAATTTTAAGAGTTGGCAGTATATTTATTTATGCTTTTATGTGTTGACTTCAACTATTTGAAAAAAAAAAACAACTCAGTTGTCTTTAACTTATTAGCTGTTAGGAGTTTTGCTCTACAAAACTTTATACATTTGCAGACTTTTGAGTGAGACATAAATTTAGTTAAAGTATGGATCCCAAACGAGCAATGCAGTTAATTTAGAGGAGCTCCAAACTGATATACTAAACTTACGTGCTCAAGAGAATCCGTCAAAATTTTTCGGTCCCATTCTTTGAAAGTAGTGCTTCGAAAATATGACTTTAAGATTAACTCAAACCCAAAAATCCTCATATTAGCATTAGAGGCATACTAGTGGCTCTAAATACTTATTATAGCATTGAATAATTATGTAAAGTTTTCTATCTTGTACCAAATGACCTGTATTCTTATACGATGAAGAGGGTTAAGTATGCCACAATGTTTGTAACACTCAACAAAGAAATGTTGGAGACCTATAAAATATATACATATATAGATAAATGATCAGCTTAACGAGCTGAGTTAATTTAGCAGCTACTCGTTTGTTGGTACCGCCGATCACTATAGCATATAGCTGTTCTTCAAACTGAACGTTCAAAATCAATTTTTTGTATGGAAAACTTTTTATTTGGTGAAATATCTTCACGAAATTTGGCATGAATTATTTTCTAAGGCAGCGCTACAACATTTGAAGAAATTTTTCAGATCTGACCACTATATCATATAGCTGCCATACAAACTGAACGTTCAAAATGAAATTCATGTATGGAAACTTCTTGAAGAATTTTCTAGCTTCGTCGCAACCGAAGCTCACGGTTTTTCTTGTTGCTTAGTATATGTCGAGTATACAAGTACATAAGTAGATTGCTTAGGAGATGATTCCCAAGGAACTTAATAGTTCAACCACCTTACCTTAGGTCAGTTGACTGAAAGTTGACTCGTTTCCGAAACAGAGATATCCGTGTCGGATCCTTAGAAATATTTCGAGGAAAAAACGTGAATCGTTCGTTGGTATTGACTCGATTAAGCATATTGTTGATATGCCCTAAAAATATGAATATTATTTTTGTAAGTCTAGTTAAATTTTATGGTGTTATTATACTTGTACTCTAAATTAGCGTCACTTTTCGACAAATTCTTTAATATTGCGGTATGTAATTTTTTCAAAATTGAGCCTTTTGTGATAGATCTTTTTAAGCTGGAAAATATAGTTTTATTTGAGACAGTAGAAGTGCTCATTCAAGGTAACTCGTGCTTACGGTCCTAACCTCCTGAATTGAACTTAATCAGAATGAGCTAATTTAGCTTATTTCTAACTAATACAGTATTTCCTTTATTACCGCTTCAAAAATAACACAAACTTTAAAACCTGATTAATATCTACTTATTCTGAATAAGATTTAAGCACCAATTATTTTGTTGTTTATTTTTAATTATTAAGTTTTATAAAAAAATAATTATAAAATTGGCAGTGCAAAATTATTTACTGTAACAATATTAACATTTCAATTATTCTTTATTTCAAAACCTTTTTCATTTTGTCATTCCGATTGACATCAACAACCTCAAATCTTCACCACCAACCAAACTAAATTAACAAACGAACAAAAAAAAATTTAATTAAATTAAATTTAAAAAAAATGATTTCAAAACGTTTATAAACATTATGCATAACTTAATCAAACAATCAAAAAAAAAAAAAAAAACAATCAATATCAAAAAACCTTCCTCTATCATCGTTCAAAACACAATATCAACCAAACAACGACAACAACAAATGGTGCGTGGGCATTCTTCATGAAATTGAAAAATGTGCGCCAACACAAAAAAATGCAAATTTAGAAGCCACTGGTGCGTCACCCCGGCGATCCGATGGCCTTGGAGAAGTTGCGCCAATGCGAGGTGCATATGCAGCCGCCCAAACGTCCAAACTGCTGTAAGACCTGGCTATCAAAGTTTCCTACAAGGTAAGCAATTAACAAAGAAGTTGTAATAATTCACTTGCAAGTGTTTTGATTACTTTGGACTTGATTTGTTTTGAGTTGAATGTAATTGCAGTTGAGTTTTGCCGTTTTAAGTTGCGTTGCTTTGCAAATATTCGCTATGAAAACGTATGTATGCAAACGTTTACTGTTATTTTTTATACACAAATGCTTTTTGCAAATTTCGTTCAAGAATTATTTTTGTTACAAATTAAATTAAATTTAAATCGTGCTTTTTATATTTTTTTCAAAGCTTTCATGAAAATGTTGAAAGCCTCTTTTTGTTCAAATTTACAATAATGTTGCTATAAAAACTCATATAAACTTACTGCGATTTATCAACTAATCAATTCCTTTGCGTATACATATTTTAATTCCGCCTGCTGCGTTATTCACTCAACAAAGACAATGTTCTAGATCGAAGCGAATCGATGTTATATCACGAATAACGTTTCCGCTGGTCTTTGCGTTATTCAATTTGGTCTACTGGAGCACATATCTCTTCAGGGAAGAGGAGGATGAGTAAATGCTAAAATCTTAATTAAATGAAATTTTAAATTAGATAACTAACTGTTAGAAAAGAAAAAATAACGCTAATCTATATATTTTTTATTTCTTCTTTTTTGCCTTTGTTTTTATTTTATTTTATTACCAATATCATTTATCTTCGTTTGATTTGCTTTGAATCGATTTGGCTTCTTTCACATACATTGGAAATTTTAAAGGACCTTCTAAAGTTGATCCGTTTGTGATGTTCATATCTATGAAAAGACAGCAGAGCAGAAAACTAGGAATAAGAAGCTATGTAGAATCGAAAAATCGTAAAATCAAAAACAAAAAAAGCATTACACGCGTTATAACTTGAAAAAAGTGCCATGCATGCATACATATTATACATACGTACATCGAGCAAGATCGGCAGTAAACGGTAACAGCGAGAGTGGTAAAAATTAGCTCAATAAAAAGAGCAAATACAATTATTAATTTTAATTATAAAAAGTACATTAATTTAAAAATAGATAAAATAATTGAAATAGGCAATTTTATGTTCGTAAATAAGCTAAGAAGGTTAACAAGCAGCAAATTCATGTATGTATAGCGAATGTCATATAATTTACATAAACATATCTAAATTTAAGTTTCTTAAATTACATTTACCATATTTTAGATTAAATTGATGTTTCTTAGTTATATTCATACTTTATGCGTGTTTTAGAGAACCTCTTAATGCAGTCAATTAAACATTTTTCCCTCTTAGTATTAGTCTATATAATACGCTAATTAACTAAATTAAGTGGCTGTCTGAAAAGCCTATTATTGTACATGCAATTATTTAAGTACTAGAAATAGTCATTCTCAAATCATTTAACTTTTACGACCAACATTCAATTACAGGTAATAACCTATATGAGTTAATAACGGAATGTGTTTAAGTCACAGAGTTTTTCGGCATTGACTTCAAAATTCTCTGTATTTTTCATATAAATTGCATAGCTTTTATATAAACTACTTTTTGTATGATGGACTCAAAGCGCATAATTTATCATATCGTCTTGAGTTTTCTTCATTAATTTATTTGTCACTTCTACTTAATTATAGTAGTTTTACTTCAAATTACCAAATATTTAAGATTATTCTTAAAGATTTGCTTGCATAAAGTATTTTACCAGTTTGTACTTATATTCCTTGCAGCACCATGTATTAAGAAATTTCTACTCTCTCACTTTTTAAAGAAAAATTACTGAAGCTAGATTAGCAAAATCGTACGAGCAACTCAAACTGCAAACATTTGCAGAATAATAATGTATACAATTATTGTAAATATTCTGAATTAATATCAATTGCGATACAAGGAAGAAATTATGCATAATTCAAGTTAGACAGTCAGAATGAGTTATCACAGTAGAAAGAATGTATGAAATTAGTAGTTCTCTCTCAAAAATTTATTTAAGACGCCGACGTCCTTGAATGTCAATCTGAAAGAAGAGCGAAGGCATATACATTACAATGAAGTAGTTTTTATTTTTAATAGTTGTTTCGCAGACCCTAAATTTAGTCAATTAGTGTATTGTATAAACTAATTTCGGAAAATGCTAATTGACTAAATAACCGAGTTGTTCACAATGTTCCTAAATTGAATTGCAATTATTTCCATTGCCGCACATTTCCTACACAAGTATTCGTATACAATTTTAAATATACTTGTATTTTGGAAATTCATGTGTTAATATTCACAAAAAAAAAAAAAAAAAATCCAAACTTTAATTTTATTAATTTGTTAAGGCAATCATTGAAGTTTTATGTCGTTTCAACCGAGTTTCCTCACATTTAAACTTACATAACATTTTCAAACAAAGCTATTAGAATCCAGAATGTCAATTATGTTTGTAAATATGTTTGAAATGATTTGTTATCACATAAAATTAAAAAAAAATGTCATTTCAGAACTGTTGCATTACATTTATATTTGAAAATTATTTTAAGTGTGTTACTAAGAGTGTAAATTAAGCAAAAAACTGTGTATTTCTAAAAGCTTACATAGGTTAATATTTGTTTGTAAAATAAAATGTCAATGTTTTTTGTAAAATCAAAAAATTGAATTATTTAATTTAATCCGATTCGTTGAATGCGTTTTGTTTCGAGGCTTAAAAATTAGCAATTAACTGGTGGGTACAACTACAAAATTAAAATAGCTTTTGCTATATTCAGTTTGAATTATTTTTCTAGTTCGCACTTATTTAAATGAATCGTATCATAGTTGTAATCTTATTTTTTTTAATAAAGTTTGATTTTACTTTAAAAATGTACATACATTTTCTATTTCATTAATTACTGATGTTAATATTTTAACTTGTAAAATAAAATATTAATTCAATATTTCAATTAGAAATTTTTATTCAATTATTTAAAATAAATTAGTTCATGCGTAGAATTTACTATATTAGTGAAATTTTATTAGTTACAAATTTTAAGCCATTTCTCAATAACTTTTTGATGCAAGCTGTAGATTTTTGCTTAACATACACAGTGAAAAATACTTTTTATATATGTTACATAAAACATTTACTTTCTTGTTAAGTAGTAAGATCTTAAAATTATCTTTGCTACCAATTTAATTATAGTTTATGAACATATTTTTAGCAAATAATTTATAGGAGATTCAGAAAGCCATTCGACTAATTTAAAGTCTGCAAACAAGTTTTCCATGTACGTGTTGATGTAGCCAATTTACTACTTGAGCAAACTAAGGCGTTGACTGTAACAACTGATACCAGCTTTCTGTTGTTGTTGTTGTTGTTGTAGCAGCAGAAACCATACCTGAAATGGTGCCGAGTTGCCAGTCTTATAAAAATTCGTGTCCGTTGCGGTTACCTAGACCCGATTGTCGTGGGAATGTTACGAGCTTCCTCTTCATTAGTGGTATGCAACTTGAAGATTAAGCTACAAGCAATGTACAAAATACGTTGCTGGATTAGATGGCTTCAGTAATGGTTTTAAACTTCTTTCTTTTTAAATAAAACATGTTCACCTCCAAAAATTCTAACATAATTGCCGTGTAGTGTCTAAAACTAATTCCATTTCAATACCATTTATACTTTGAACCAAATGTGTTATAACGCTCGCTATTGATAACGGTTTCGAAAGAAAAATAAGGCCGGATGATCTGCACCAAACGGTATATTTTTGGTAATGCAATTGCGTTTCCTGAACCACACGAGAATTTGACTTATCCCAATAGCGACAATTTTATTTGCTGACGGCACTATCAAGACAAAAATGGGCTTCATCAGAGAAGATGATTTTTCGATGAACGTGAATATGTGAATTATTCGGAGAACGTGAATAAGCGTAAAAATCTTGGCCAATTTTCAAGCGTTGTACCAAAGTGAAACGTAACATGTTGAAATGGCAAACCTCACTGAACACACGGACAAAATTTGACACAAATCCGTAAACAAACATGGCCGCCACCAGCTGTCCCAATCACGTTATTCCTTGTGGTACACGCGTTTTTTAAATAATATATTCTTTAATTTAAAGTTCTTACCTCAGAATTCGCTCACAACTTCAAAGATTTCATATATTATTATACTTTTTTTCAATACTAAACAGTTTTCAGTTTTGTAGTATACACTTAAGTCAACCTAGTTATTTAGGGTAGTATGAAAATCTATATACAAACACTTACTTAGTAACTGGAAAACAAAAAATAAAAAAACTCATAAACATGCAATAAATAGCAGCTTTACTAATCACATTACTATGATCATAATATTTAAGTGTCAAAATATTGGTTTCACGCACACAGATACAAAGAATACACAAAATTGTAAAAAAAATAATAAATAATCGAAGAAAGCCACTAAGTGTTAGTATAAAAAAATAAACAAATTAATTTTAAACTAAAAATTTAAAAGTATAAATTTAAATATGGCATAAATATGAAATTTTAAAAACCCTTGCTATATAAACCAATTGTAGTTTACTTACACTCAAAATCATGTAATTATTGTGTACTCTTGTGTACCCACTCCCAGATCGCACGTAATGCCGGAAGTACGAAGTAAAGAAATGAATTCTACATAGCAAATTCCCTTAGCGAGCGTCAAGTTGTGAGATTTATAGCTAGAGCTCGTTTAGTTAACCAAAACTCATTCCAGCTTTCATTTACTTTTATCATTAAATTCACTTTTATTTTCAATTTGTTGTCTTCTTGCTATGTACATAACCATTTACAATTAATTTCTATTTTTAAATTATTTTCAAATACATTTATAATTAGTTAATTAATTTGCTTGGTTGAAGAGCTCAAATGTAAGCATTTTCACATTAGCGTTGGTTGAAATGAACTTGATGTAACAATGAACAAACAAAAACAACAAAATAAATAACAGTAACATCTTGAAAGCATATAAGAAAATATTATGTTGGAAATGTGAGTAACACAAGTTGTGTAAAAGCGTAAATATATAAAAATATATATAGGTATATATATATATATTTGCAATGAAATTATGTACACATAAGTAAATAAGTCTATATAAAATCATACATGCATATGTATGTGTTACAAGGAGAGCGCATAGAAATTGAGGGGCGTGTGGATCGTAAGTTGATACTCCTAATGCTGGGCGTTCCAATGTGGAGTGTATGGAAAGTTCAATGAGTGGATGTCGATGAATATCAAAGCGCGGAAATAATTACTCGTGCATACAGGGTTTTTTCTAGCAACCGAGGCATTGTAAGTGTAATAACTACATATTTAACATAATAATAATAGATTGTTGAAGACTTGAATATAAGTGTTAATAACTAAATCTATGTATTAAGTGTGAGAATAAGTGTGATTAATTTAGCAAAAAGCACATAAATAATGAATATAATAAACTAATACGCATGTGACCTTTTTAAACCAAAATAATATGGAATAGATTGTGGAAGGAATTATTATTTCATTAATCAGCAATAATAATCACAAAACATGTATTTTTTAGGAGAGTTCTACATGGTTTAAGTGCTTTTTGAACACTTCCGAGCCTAAATAGTATGAATATTAATAAATATTTAATCTAAGGATATATTTTCCATTTGTTGTTTAGGGAATTCACAATTCACGGTTAGAAGACACCAAAACGATTTTGAAAACTTTATGTACAGCAAAAATCCATTTTATTTATTTTTTTGTTATGATAGAAAGTTCTTCTTACGGAAATACATTTTTTTATATTAAGTTTGCCACGAAGCTTGTAAGATAGGAAACGTCGGACACCCTACAAAGTATATACCATATATAATTGATAAGCGTAACGTCTGTCCGTTTGCATATGGTATAAGCGAACGAGTTCCTCAGCCTTTGAGACCAGACATTTCACACACATCATTTTCTCACCAAGACGCCGCTCATCTGTCGGAACCGCCAATATCGGCTTACTAAAACATTTAGCTGTCACTACATAAATTAAATGAACGGATTCAAGTGCTGGTACGGAAAGTTTCGACATTTCACCAGATATAAGGCAGTAATGCAAATTTCGAAGCAATTGCTCATGGCGGACCACTATGGCATACAGCTGCCATATAAACTGCACAATCGGAATCAAGATAAAGATCCTTTAATACTGCTTTATACTATAAAAATGCCCCTGTGAAGGGTATTATAGCTTTGGTACAGCCAAAGTTAACGTTTTTTCTTGTTTTGAAATAACATAAATTTAATTTCGCATTCGTATGTCTCCGCAATGTGGGATAATTAAGTGTTTTCTGTTCGGTGGGCACCCCTTAATTGAGTCAATTAAGCATTTATTTTTTACATTTATTCATTTGTACAATTTGTTTATTTTCTAAATTAAGGGTATGAAACGCCAATATACTATTACATCTGTTCACATTTTCAATTAACAAACGAGACTTGTGAGACTTGTGAGACGTTGCATGCAAGGTGTGCCTTAAGCTCAATTAACTGCTTAATGACTTAGTGGTAAGACAGTTGTGTCATTCTGATTCCATTGACATGATTATTTTTGGGTTTAAAAATGTCACAAGCGAAATGAAAAACTGCAAACAAAGAAATTATTTTATAATTAGCAAATAGGTTGTGGTAATTATTCGCCAATTGTGGCTAATGACATATGTATGTATTGTGCATTTGATTTTGTCTTGTTCAAAAATACTTTTATACATGTTTTCAAATTATGTACTTACAAAAACTAATAAGGTATACATATTAATTTGATTCGTCAATTATGCAGAAGATTTAATGTGTTGAAAAAAGAAAAAAATTTATATATATTCATGCATATAACTATATGCATAATATAAATGCGTACATATATATGTATGTTCAAACCATGTAAATATTACTTACAAACTATTTTGAATTTAGAAAATGTGTAGTAACAACTATTAGTTAAGTGTAAAAAAATACAAAAAAAAAAATGAAATATTAGATGATTAAGTTAAGATATGAATGTTGCACACAAATGAATATAAAAACTAATTGTTTAATATAAGTTCACTAAGCCGAGATTTTAATGGGTTTGTGTTAATTGTCTGAATTGTAAAAATATTAAAATTAAGTTTAATTATAACTTATTTGGTTGCAAAATAAGAACTGAACACTATTGAAAACACTAAATGTGTCATGAATAGAGAAGATAATAATGATAATTATTTGAAATATATCAAGCAAATTTTAACTATAATTGATAAGAACATACAAGCATAAAAGTGGCACAATAAAAATATTTGTCGCGGCGTGATCAAGCAGGCGCACCAATGTGTAAAAGAAGAGCTTTAAGCTTTACTCTATGCATATAAAAATAAATTGATGCGTCGTAAACAATATAATCATATGTTAAGATTGGCGTTGAACACCGACTACTAAAACTTATGTCAAAACAGAGAAAGAGAAAAGCACTTTAACTACTTTACAACTTGGTGAAAAACCAAAATGAAGATTTTAACAAGATGCAACTAAAAGCTCGTTTCGCTACGCCATCAAAAAGTAGAAGCAAATAGAAACACATTGACATATAGAGATACTTTTTTACCGAAATTCATGCCAAATCTAAACACACACCCACATATGTACACGTGAAAGAAGTAGGTCCGCCGAAGCAAAATAATATAAAACACTTCTATAACTACAACTATATACCATATACTTGTTGTATTTAATATCGTCTGCTAACTATACTTGTATTATATTGACAAATTTTTTGCTGTAGCTAAATAAAAAGCAGCGTCCTTTGTGTAGTTAATATTTGTATGCTAAATGTGAGTTCGGTGTATATAAAAAAAATAACTACAAAATTTAATAAATAACAATAAATTGTTGTTTAGGCTTAAGTAAGCTTGGTTTGCATTGCAGTGCAGCTTTAACCGGTTTGCTTTAAAAATACCTTTAAAAAAAGGATGTTCTAACACAGGGTGACTGAAATGTATGTATTTTCACTTTTCAAGCGTTTATAAAAGCTGCACGCTTCAGAGATATATGCTTTTTTCATTAAATAATTTTAATATAATTATTTTATATAATAATTATATATTTTATTCTTCCTATGAAATCGCTGTTTATATTGACGCTGCTGCCAACTAGAGCGAGATTGTTACTCTAGCGGACGAGGTCGATATGTTGTCAAACATTTCGCTTACTACACCCATTGGTTGGATTGTAGCGTGAGAATTTTTCTTTTCTCGCTGAAATCACATTTAATAACAAAATCTTCTTCCTCGAACTTCATGAAAGTAGGGAGCAGTTATGACATTTGCTGACAAAGCGTCGAATACAGTAACATTGGTCAAATGCAAGGATTTTGACACCACTTTATGTGAAAGTGTGCCTCATCTGAAAAAAAAAATACTAAAGCTGGCAAAACTCTCTAACATACGCCCGCTAATCTTGAGATTTTTATTTCTATAGCATTTGAATTTTGGACGCAGGTAATATGCTATCGACATCACATAACGTTCTGCTCTTTGTAGTTGCTTTTTTTATTAAATACAATTTTTCAAGCTTTTCTAATGTCTATTAAAAAAGTGAATTGTTATAACTTCATTGCTATAATAAATATTTTACTATGCTTAGTATTTGCTTTGCGTTGAGGTCGACAATTGTTGTTATGCGTAAAAATATTTTCCTTTTCAAAAAGGATTGCTTATATCTGTTACATTTTGACAGAGTTTGAAATTGTGAAACTGCTTTCCATCATTTTATAACATTTTCAAATATAATATAATATATGACACTACTGGTAAAAACAAAAACAAATCCATTTTCGCATCAAGTACTCTTATTACATTAATAGCGTTCATTGTATTCGGCGAACTACACTTTGAAAAAGGCAAAAATAAACAAACTACTGTTAATAAACTTCGAAAAAACTATATACTTACATATATGTACATTAATGTTCACCACTAAGAAAGAAATTTCAATGAAAATTGCGCAAGCCAAAAATAGACAACTTGCTGGCGATCACTTATCATTTGAACGAAGAAGTTGTAGTTAAAGAAAAAAGAAAAAATGTTTGTAAAGAAGTATGCAAAATCAAAATCGGACAGAGCAAACAACAACAAAACGAAGTCTTTATGACCAAGTCACAAGTTTGACAGATGACAGATGAAGTATTGCAGTGAGTCTGGTAGCGTTTATCAAAGCTCATGTTAGACATTATGTGTGCAATTAAAAAAAAAAATATATATATATAAAAGTATATAAAATATCTATTTGTATATTTTCTATTGTGTAATAAATCACAAAAAACGATTTTATGTGTATGTATGTATGTACTTTTGTATAAATTTCATATTTGAAGTCTTCCTCCTGCATTCACACACCCAAGTCAAGTACTACTAAGCACATGCAACATCAATGAATACATACATACACACATACCAACTAACTAAGCAACTAACTAACTAAAAATAAATAAATAAATGAATAATTATGTTAAGTATAAGCCACATATTGCACCGTTGTTTCATCTCACGTGAAGTTTTCATTACACAAATCTTTGAAATTACAGCCCGGCACAAGACAAAAGAATTCTGTAGAAACTCTCATGTTCGATGTTCACCTATGAATCAATGAAAATAATTTAAGCAGAGATAAAATCACAAACATAATTAGATTAATTGTAATATTACCATACCTTGTAAACATATGTGCATGCATGCATTTGGGTATATCTGTGTGTGTGTGTACATATGTAAGCTTACATATAAGAATAAATGAGAACCGAAATAATGTAAAATAAAACAGGTGAAACAAATGAAGCAGAATTCTAATGAACAATGTTTATATTATATTATGTGCATACAAAATAACTAATAAATAAAGCAAATTTGTTGTAAAACCGGTTACACGTTGGTATTAATAGTGAAGTTATTCCGATGAGCTAGAAGCATATGAAAAACGGAATGAATAAAATGTACGCGTATGTTTAAAGCTAAATTAAAATAAGAAATTAGTGAATAAAAATGAAAATGATTAATATTTAGATAGACCGCTTATCTTTTCTTGAGTTCAAACTTAATGTGAATTTTTCGGAAAAATATCTTTATATTAAAATGTTATTATAAATAGCGAAATACTCCACAGATGAGACGCGGTTGACTAAAATAATTAGTAAGTATTTCGCAAGAAAGAAAGTCGATTATTAAATTGATTTTCTTCAAAACATCTACTCTTCATTCACATGACTCATGTATTATATTTTCTTGAGAAGATGCTACACACTAACGGCGCACAGTGGTTTCACATTGATTCGTCGAGTCAACTGTCAGTGTGGGGTCCACACTGTGGACATTCGCGATTTCCAATGTTTAACAATTGTTTCGAAAAATATCTAAGCACTCGGATATCTACCACACTAGAGTTGGAATAATTGACAGAGTCTGCCAAAAATCAATGAACAACATAATCATGATTCCAAAAAAGTGTTTTAGTCATTTCAAAATAAAGCGAAATATTTAAATATCAATTAATATTATAAAAAAAATATTTAAAAAGAGTAATGAAGTTCGAAGTGAACCAAATTTAGTTAATATATATGTACATATATAATATATATATACACTAAGAGCAGAAAGTTTATATAATATATAACTACTTTACTAGAGTGAGAAAGATGGATTACCTTCATGTATAAGTATACATATATGTATGTATATACATAGGTATATCTATATGAAGGTGTAAAAATCAAAAATACCTTTTTTGTAGAGCGGAAAATTTTATATTAGAATATTAATTTTGTTTATTTGTTATGGAGATAAAAAATTTATTGCACAAATTACCAAAATCCCAGTTGAAATATATGGTAGAAGTAAAATTATTGGTATATGGACATGGTTTGAATTGCAAATACAGAGTTGGTTTACGTTGGATTCTTTAGGACAAAAACTGAAACTTCAGGGCGCATTTCCAAAAAAAAGTTTCAACTTGGGAAATAACGCACACCCAAATGTTTATATATATGATGCACGCAGCAATTGCTTTATTTGATTTGACAGTTGATTTGAGATAATGTGTGGTCAAACATATATATTATATATTTATTGTTTATAAGTTTAAAGAGCATCTTTCTTACATGATTTATAATATCGCTAACTTAATTTTTAATTATATATACTATATGCCAGACGATTTAGTGCATCCTAATTGAGTTGCAACATTCAATAGCATAATTTGGTAAGATTAGACGCTTCTGCAAAATAAGAAGTGAATATAGTTAAAGGTGTGTAGTTCTTTGTGATTGTGTGTTTAAATTTAGAACTAGAAATGTTCGAAATAGATACAAGCATAGGTGCAACATACGACGCCGATTCTAAGGAATGGCTGGTTCCGAAATTCTATGACTTCTACGATCAGCATCTGTGGTCAGCTCTTCGAGCAAATGCGCCGTTGTCCTCACAGTATTTGTCAAGTAATGCTTAAAAGTTTAAGCTGCAGCTGTGTAAAATTTTGTTAAATCCTATAACCCTGTCAGATATCCGATACTGAACAGACTAGCTTAACCTGAAGAAGCTTTGCAGGCCATTCGTGTCGCTGAAAATTTTCGTAAGCTGAATTTGACGCAACGTGATATTGTTGGTGTAGTTGCACGGAATACCACCACTTCATGGCCTGCCTTGCATGCTTCTTCAATGCGTGCGCTGCATGCGTTAATCCCAATCTAGAGGAGAGTGAGTGCTGAAACGGAAAGTTTATGAAAGTTAAAATACAGTATATTTCTTAGAGTCTGTAAAGGTCTTTTCAAAACCACAATGCCAAAATATATTTTTCTTCGATGGACAGGACTATCAAAAGTCGTGCGGGCAACAAATGAGTTGGATACGACCTTTACACCTTAAGTAATCATTTGCCAGAGTACCTCTGTGAATGATCTACTGAAATCGACTGGCACGGAACATAAGTTTACGTGAGTTGTTTTACGGAAGTGATTCGAGTCATGCATGTTGCTTCAGTCGAAGCAATAATATTTGAAATAGCACGTTGAGGCGACATACAAGCATTTACATGTTGGTGTCATCATTGTGGAAACAAGTTGAACTCAAGCTAAATCGTAAAACAATTAAAAATGTTTCTTCATCAAGAAGACAAGTTATAAGATAACACGTTCGAAAATAAATAGAGCTTAGGTATAACGATTGATGGCCTTGAGGTTAAGTTGCATATATTTAATTAAAAGACATTGTGTTTTAGGCCGATTTTAGATAAAGACAACTTACAAAAACAAATTATAATAAAAATATTAACCTATAAAATATTACCATTTCTTAAAGCTAGCATTATTTTAGAAATCTTAATTACAAAACTTATGTCCTTGCGTTTTAGATGGCTAACTAATTCAGTAAAAAGCAGAACACAAAACAGAAAAAGTTAGACCGATAAGGTTAAAGACGCCAGTTCAAGTCCTCCGTGATCGTTGTTCAGTAGTGTCATCGCAAATCTGCACCAATTGATCACTCCAAATTCAACAAGTGACTTATGGAGGAAGCTTCTACACGCGCCTCAGGACTCTTATCGTCGTCACCAAAAGTGTCATCGTTAATACTCGTGCGACATTTGATTGTTGTTGATTATGTTTGAGATAAGATTGACTTGTTGTTGTGTGGTTGCTGTTGCGATAAACATTGATTTTGTTGTTGAAGGGAGGCATCTCTGTGGATTCTAAAGCGAATTATATTGCCATTCTGTGCCATGGTGCTTGCAGTGACATTGAGAAACTTTCCAAGTTAAACGGACTATTACTCAGCGCCGCAGCAAAAGGCCAAAATCTGGCGAATTTCTCTCCAGTTCATGATTTCAGGGTTACCAAGAAATGGTTGTTGCAATTGCTGCATCAACCGCTGCAGTTGCGTTGCTGCGGAGCCCTCTTGGTGCATCGGCATCTTTATTGGCTGCGGAGGAAGTGGTTGTTGTGGCTGCTGCTGTTCGAGAAGGTTTGGTCGAGCAGTTGTTGAAATTGTTGTTGTTGCCAGTTCAACTGTGTAGGATACTCTGATGCTGTTTTGCTGTAGACTGCCTTTGTGATTTTGTTGCTGTATTTGTGTCCGATTCGGCTGTGGTAACACTCGTTCAGTTAGGGTTGTTGTTGTTGGTCCTGAATATTTTCAACTTTGAAAATTGTGACTGTTGTCATCCAGATAAACTTTACTCCTCATGATTCTCCAGTGTGGTGAATTGTCTCAAGATTGAGTTTCACCACATTCGCCATCCCACTTTCCAAGTTAACCACCTCCGTGACCTTTCCGTCAGGCGAAGGTGTTCTCGATGTATTGCTCTTGATTGATGATAGTGAATAATGGCTCTGGTGAGGTGTCATCTCACTAGACACGAAGAACGTATCAAATTTATATGTGCTTCATTCTTGATAATGTTTTGTAACGGTTTTGGTAACCGTCTGGTTCTCCTATTAAACGAAGCCATAGTAAGTCGTTAAGTCTACATTTGCGCTTTAGTCGTGACTTTTGCTGGTTCATATTTGAATTCACAAGGCTTACTGACGGAGCCATCGGAAGGTCTTTGTAGTTGCGAATATCTGTACGGGCTCTTCAATATCGGTATTGTGATATTTGATAATCCTAAATCATTCTGGACTATTAATCTCCATCATATCTCAACTATTCTACTCGAATCGCTATAAATCGGATTGACGAACTACAGTGGCACCGTGAAGTGTCCATTTTCGCCTTGGATAAATACTTGGAGCACAACGACATCCGCATTGATATCTATACTACTCGGTTGAGTTACGTGTGAAAACCAGTTTTGAATGGGTCAACGCGTATTTCTTCACGCACCTTTAGTGATGCTCATGTCTTTCTTCTAACACACTGTATACCTAGATTACAGAGCTCGGCACGCATAGTATTTTCGTTTATACTAAGTAGTGTACACCCTTTTACAACCCTCTTCACCACTAAAGTATGAGGATGTGGTCTATATGGTGGATCCTTGGACACACAGAGACGACACAAACCGAGCGGCCTTATACCAACAATTTCGATTGTAGGATAGGTTCGCATTTCCATGTCGAATTTTCGGTATGGAACCGGCTGAACGCCCTTCACACTCATAACGGAATCTCCAGCTTTACTCGCGTTGCTCACTATTTTCACATAAGCGTTTTCATGTTCTATTCGGCTCAGCAAATTTTTTAAGCACTGCTGTTTCTTGTGTTTGTTTTGCTTCGGCTTTTGCTTTCGCTTTTGTTTTGGTTTGGTTTCTGTAGCGTAATGTCAGCACAGGGGGAGTTTGTCGCTTCTCCTGCTTAAATCGTTCGTGCGACATGCTCGGACTTATTTCATCCATAAGATCGTTAGATTGATTCATATAAATATCTGAATCCATTTACCTTCTTATTGCACTACAAAGAACAAAATATAATCGAAATTAATTTTCTAGAAATACAGCGTCTGAATACTTGTAACTTTCTCAAGTTATACTTGAATTTGTTTAAAGACTTATCGGCGCTCTTTATATATGCGCGAACGGTCAGCTACGGTTAGCATTATTTGATGGGATTCGGAAGGATGCGTCTGAACCTGCTCAAGGTCATTCTTTTGTTCTACCTTAATCTGTATCATTGGCATAGACAACTGTCATTTGATATAAGAAGAATTAGCGCAGGTAGGCAATCAGTGATGCAAGGACCTGAAGGAGGGTGTTCAATTGTTGTTTGAAAAACAAAGTAAGTTATTCTGCCTTGCATTTTCAACCGTACTCTTTTGATCTTGTAATCCAGTGAGTGTAGATCAGTATAAGCACTATTAGAACTGCACAAAAGATTCTTGCAATAAAGTTGCCAACTCCAAGATTATTAGCAGTGACACACACTTGAGAAGATATATTTTTATTGCCTATGGATGTCACGATTTCCTCTACGTTTTATAATTGTTGCATACCTTAATTTGAGAATGTGGGAATTTTTATAAATAAATGTTTATTAACATTCTCTCGCTAACTTAATAAAGATGTCAAATAAATCGATAAATTGTGAAACTATCACACCTTAACTATGAGAGATGTAGGACTACCACAAAACGACGTGAAGTTAAAATTAAATTAAACACTCAAATTTGGTCAAAATGGGTTGTGTTTTTGTTATGCTGATAATTTAATCATTTGTAATTTAAATAAAATATCGTATTTAAATAAATGCCCAACTCTTTACGCCAATTTTCGATGACCCGGTGCAGCATTTCGGTTGGAGTTTCGCAATGGTTTGCTGTGTGTCTTCCGAACCTCCAAATTGCTGTTTGATTAGCGTAAAGTTTTGATTTAACATAGCCAAGAGAAAATAATCTAGAGGCGTTAAAAACATGATCTTGGCGTCCATTTGATCAGACCATTTGTCAAAGTTAACGAGTCGCCAAACTTTGCACGCAATGTGTCCATGTTTGACGTGAAAATTGAAGCGCCGTTTGTTAGAAATAGATATCATCTGCGTCGATTTTATCAAATTCCGTGGGAAAAGTCGGTCAACATCGTGTTAGAATGCTCGCTATCGATAACGGTTTCGAAAGTAAATAACCGGATGGTGCCGCCATACCACTATCCGCCAAACGGTCAATTTTGGTAATGCAATGCGTTTCCTTAACCACACGAGATTTGACTTATCCCAAAAGCGACAATTTTATTTGTTGCTGGAGTTTGTTGTTGAGAAGAATTTTCGATAAACGTGAATTTGTGAGTTTTCGGAAAACGTGAATTTACGTAATAATCTTGAACAATTTCCCAGCGTTGTACCAAAATGGAACGTGACATGATGAGTGGCAAAACTTACTGAACACACAAATAAAATTTGTTACAAATCCGGAAACAAACATGATCGCCACCAGCTGCCCAATCCGTCATCTCTATGGTTGAACGCTCTAAATATGTTATATATTCCATTTCATGGGTAGAAAAACACATGTTTTCGAAAATTTTATTTCTGAACTTTCCTTAACTCGCTGAAATAATATTCAATAACCAAATCTTCTTGCTCGATCTGCATATACAATTGCTTCGAAAATC